TGGGAAGGAGTTCGATGGTAGATAGGTGATTAGATCGATAGATGGATTGATTGGTAGGTAGGTAGATAGATCGGTTGATAGATAGGGAGGGATTCAAGGGAATAGATTGAATGTCGAAATTTGATTTTGGGAGCTTGAATTGGAATTGGAAATTTCGGGGTGGCAATTTATGTTGATGAGAGGGAGACAAGGACAGAATTGAATTGAGATACTTGGCACAACTTAGACTCGCACACAAATGACGAAAATTTTCGCAATTAGGATTTTGCCGAATTAGTTTTTAACGTCTCGTGAAAGGTGGAGCGTTACATTGTGAAAGGAGTGAAACTCTAGGATTTTCGATTACTCTCTCTCGTTAGTCTCAGTGATTCTGAAGTCTATCCTACAGTAAGGCCGTCTGTGGTCATCTGCTGGAGCCGTTGCTTTTGTGGGCTTGTTAGTAGTGTAGTGGGGTTCTGCCACCACCCTCCCTAGAAGTATCGTTTTTTCTGTAGTATTTTTCTTTACTTTAGCAATCTTTTTGTTTCTTTCTTTTTGCCCCCCTGTCCCCAGGCAATGGCCGTCTGACCAGTTGCATTATGTAATAAAAACTCTTATTTCTTTTAATATATTGATGTGTAATCTTTTTGCGTATTCGCAAATATTTGGTTTAGGGTAGAATGATCGGATGGTAAAAAGGACTCCCTCCATCCAAAATGTTTGACGCCGTTGATTTTTTTAAAAATGTTTGACCGTTCGTCTTATTCAAAAAATTTAAGTAATTATTAATTCTTTTCCTATCATTTGATTTATTGTTAAATATACTTTTATGTATATATATAGTTTTACACATTTCACAAAAGTTTTTAAATAAGACGAACGGTCAAACATGTTTAAAAAAGTCAACGGCATTAAACATTTACGGAAGGAGGGAGTAGTAAGTTGCATATTTTGCCACTCCACGCAAATGGGAATAGTTAAACTCGAGGTATCAGATCAGAATATATAGTGGAATACTCTTGTTACGTCATCTTTGTATGGAAGTCTACTATTGAAATAATTGATCATCAACCTAGCTCGCAACTTTGTGGTCAAAATGTTTCAAATTAAGTTGAGCTAGCTAGCTAGTACTCTGCTATGGCCTATAGCTAGGTGTATTAAACTTAATTAGTGACACATCTACGGTCTTGTTTAGATCACACCATAAAATTTTTTACCCTGTCATATCGAATGTTTGTACACCTGCATGTAGTATTATATATGGGCTAAAAAATAACTAATTGCACAGATTATGAGTATTTTGTGAAACGAAACTTTTAAGTCTAATTGCTCCATGATTTAATAATGTGGTGCTACAGTAAGCATTTGCTAATGACGGATTAATTAGGCTTAATAAATTTGTCTCGTGGTTTATTGACGGATTCTGTAATTAGTTTTTTTATTTGTGCCCGAGCACTCTATGTGACACCTTATATAATATCCGATGTGATACGCTAAAACTTTATACCCTATATCTAAACACCCTCTACATGTATGACTATAGCTTGATGCAAATGCTACTATAGGCCAGCCATCATCTACACTCCTACAAAAATATATATTTGCATGATAGTTGAATTTGATCCAGTAATTTCAAAGTACATTGGATCCCATATTTGTGCTGCCACCATATGCATGTAACTGTGTGTCATGTGTGGATGGTTACAGTCAAGCTAGGCACCTCTAATTTGAATACTTGATCCATGCCCAAAGGCGTCCTATAGAAGCATAGTACCATAGCCAGTTGCTATACTGTTCTAGAAGTAACTTTGGATCTCGATTAGCACCTACCTTTGCTAGCTAGGGCTCCCCGCTAAGAGGCAGGAAAGCATGTGTCTCCAAATTGACCATGCATAAACCATACCCCCTACTGAAATTAACAAGAATTATATATAATCCCCCCCACCCCACACACACCTCAATATCAGCCACTACCTCCGTCTCGTAATAATTATAACTCTAAATTGTTTAGCATATATTAAGATTTGAGAAGAAAAAAAATATGTTGCTCCTCATTAATGGTGTACATGTAAGAGTGGGAGAGTGGCTAAGATTAAAATAGATAGAAATTTTTATTTCCATCAGAGAGTTTACATAACTCAGAACGAAGCGTTTAGAAACTTCCACATATGGCGCCGCTTTATCGTGAGTAATCTCATTGCGTGTATACCAGATTCGCCACAATGACATAAGAAAGACAGGGCGATCATCCTCTGAAATTGATTCCAAAAGATCAAGGATCCAACCAGACCCCTCCCCAGACCCGTGCAGGATACGCTGTACTTGCATCTCGGAGCTCATTAGGTCCCGGTATCGCCTGGCATGCGGGCAACGCCACAAAGCATGGGCCACATCTTCAGGCTCTAGGCCGCAGATACTGCAGATGTCCGACAATTCCAGGTTTCGTTTCTTTTTATTCACCATAGTGGGAAGACAGTTTGAGATAGCTCTCCATGAGAACACTTTGACCTTTTGGGGGATATTACACTTCCAAACATGGTTCCACGCTTTCTTAGTATCATTTCCTGAGGAGCTAGAGCTCTCCCCAGCATTTGCGAGCTGAACCGCTAACATATAAGCACTTCTAACCGAAAACTGGCCCATTTTATCAGGATGCCAAGCGATAAAATCCTCATCCTGCCGACTGGAGAGCCTTATTGATTTGATTATTTCACCATCCAAAGGCCAGAAAACCCGAGAGATGACATCCCTAATGCAAACTTGGGATCTGGGATGCATGTAATTGGAGAAGACAGGCCCAAGTGCAAGAAGCAATCTGTCTTGGCAAAATGAGAGAAACCTCCGAGTGGATGGATGAAGCTGAATGTTGATGGCTCCTATCAGGAGAATAACACAGGGGGCATCGGTGCTATCTTGCGGAACAGCACTGGAGATGTAATATTTGCAGTCTATGGCTTTGTTGAGCAGAGCCAGAGTGCGCTGGAAGCAGAAATTTTGGCTTGCAAGGAAGGTATCAGACTGGCTCTCCAATGGACCCTTCTACCGATTATCATTGAATCTGACTGTGCGGAGGCGATACAGATGATTCTTTCTGAAGGGAAGCTGCGATCGGCACATACGTTTTTAGTCAGGGAGATCCAAGGCATGGTGAAGGGGGCCAGGGAGATGAAGCTGAAGAAGGTGAACAGGAACTGCAATCGCATCAGCCATGTTTTAGCTAATAAAAGGTCGGTGTGAGTCCCTTACGGACTTTTGGCCGGACGGAAGTTGTAACTTTATTTCCGAACTTATGTCTGCGGACAGCTATGGCTAAGTAATAAAGTTCCTGTTTTTCCCCGCGAAAAAAAGATAGAAATTTAATTGAGAAGTGATTGATGGGATAATTAGTATTTTATTATAATAACTATATATTTTAAGATAAATTTGAATCCTATAAATACAGTTATTATGGATTGAGGAAGTATCATGCACATGGATGATGGATGGATAACTATTAATTAATCTAATTAATGGCACAAGCTAAACAAAGATCACCACTTGATCAGCATACTCATGGAACATATACTCCCTCTATTCATAAAATTTAACTAATCAAACACAAATTAATCAGAATGTTAAAATATTACTTTGCCTTTTATTAATGCCGAGAGAAAACAAGGATTGGAGGAGGAGGAGATCAGAGTACTACTTGTTTGATGGTTAAAAACAAAAAGAAAACAATGAAGTCGTATTAAAGAGATCTAATGGACCAATCTAAGGACCCGTTCGCCGTTCGTTTGGGCAACTCGGTTGTTATATGTTAGCACAATTCTGGAACCTAATAAACGGTGCGCTTTGTGTAAAAATTTCTATTTCTTTGAAAAAAAAATCAAATAAATCAATATTTCAGTTTTATAGTAATTGATATTCGATCCATCATTTACTAACGATTCACTCCATTTTTCGAGCTGCCAACAACTGCGGTCTTACATTTGATTTAAATTCAGCCTAAAACTACACTTAACTAACGATTCACCCCATTTTTCGAGCCGCCAACAACTGCGGTCTTACATCTGATTTAAATTCAGCCTAAAACTACACTTATTTAGGAACAAATATTTTGCGTAAAACTACGGAGATAGAGGGAATGGGTGTACTAGCCGAGTAGCCATTAGCTCAGCTCCAACCTTTTCCTGTCCATCTTAGCTAGCGTGTTTACGTGTACGTGATTAACGTAAGCAACACAAAACACACAGCTCCTAGTGAAGAGTTTCAAGTCCGGGCGCCTTGTGATAAGCTTGGGGAGACGTGCGGGGGGCATGTGATGGAAGCTCGCACATGGGCTAAATTAAATGTGACTGGGTTAGAAAACAAGATAGTAGAAGGGGGCCTTTGCTTGCATTGAGAGGCATTTGGGTTTGTTTGATTTCATGGACGGATAGATCCATCTCCCCCTAATTTCAGGTCCTTTTTTAAATAACTCCCCAAATCTCATGTCATCTTCTCGAAGTGAGCTCCGATGACTCCTCTCACGCGGAAAAAACTTTGACTCTCGGTGAAGAAGTCAAACTGAGTCCAGGTAGAAGGCCCAAATTACAAGCAAAAACAAATGTACTAGTATTAGGCCTAAATTCGGCCTAATTCCAAGTAAAGTGGGCCGTTTCGGCTTTGGCATATTGGGCTGGCTGGATGATGGGCCGTGGGCTTTCCTTCACGGGGCGCGCGCCGCGACGAAGCGTGTTGGAGCGGGGACCGAACCCCCTCCCCCCCCCGTCGGGCTCGTTCTTGCGAAAAGGTAAATCCGCACTCGGTCCGTAGTACCTAAGTGGTGAGGGGCAAGACCGTCGCCCCGAGGTGAACGCCCAGCGGCACTGGCCAGACCAAGGCTACGACGACCGGGGGTCGGGAACGCCCGTGTGTAGGCCCTTCCGAGCCCCCGGGGTTCGGCACAACCCGGGCGCGGCCCGCGTTTAGGCTCCCTTTCGGTGGTTTTCAGGTCACCCCCCCCCCCCCCCCCCCAATTCAGTCACGTCACGTGAGAAAAAGCGGCGCAAAAGCGAGTGAACCGCTTGAACCGGAAGCGACTCGAGTCCAAGCCAAGCCACGCGCTGCACCACTCGCCGCTTTACCCGCCGTTCTCCTCCTCCTCCTCCTCCACGCGCGGCGGCGAGGCGGAGCCAAGCCCTAGGAAGGAGCGGCGCGTCACCGGCGGCGGCGGCGGCATGCATCACGACCCCAACCCGTTCGACGAGGGCAACGCCGACGACAACCCCTTCTCCGTGAGCCGACACTCCTCTCCTCGCACGCTTCGTTTTTTTTTGGGGTGATTTTTTGTCTGGTTACTGTGTGTTCGTGGATCGTGGAGTGGTGGTAGATCTGGGATTTTTTTCGCGTGCTGTTTTTCTGATGAGGTGTGGCTGTGGCGCTGCAGAATGGGGGAGGTGGTGGTGGCGGCGGCGGCAGCAGGCAGCAGTACGGGTTCCGCCCCACGGAGCCCGCCGGCTTCGGCGCCGGCAGGGGGGACGCCACCGTCGATGTCCCGCTCGACACCATGGGCGTAAGATGCTTTACGTGATAGTGCTCCCTCTTTTTTCCCCCCTCCTTTCTCCTGTTGTTCTCGTACGCGAATCTGAGGGTTTTGGGGGCGTGTACGCTGCACAGGACTCCAAGAGCAAGGCAAGGGAGCTCTCATCGTGGGAAACAGATCTGAAGCGGCGGGAGGCGGTGGGTTTTTGCTCTCCATTCCACTTGTAAACTTTTGAAATGCTGGTTGATTCGGTAGTGTATCATTGTGGTTTTGTTGTGGCTGCAGGATATCAAAAGGAGGGAGGAAGCGCTGAGGAATGGTATGCTCTTGTTTGACTGATGGTGGACTCAGTGATAATTCAATTGCCAGTTGTGTTAAGAGGAGTGCGCTCATTTTCGCATTATTTTTTTTCCTTTTTGATGCAGCTGGAGTGCCAATGGAGGATAAGAACTGGCCACCATTCTTCCCGATCATTCACCATGACATTGCCAATGAGATACCGGCTAATTTGCAGAAATTGCAGTATCTCGCGTTCGCAAGCTGGCTTGGTAGGTGTAGATTGGACATTGTTATTGCAATTTGCTACATCAATTGTTTGGTAGTACTACATTGTTTGCTTATCTAGCTGAGTCTCTGGATTAATCAATTGTGGTGGTAGCTACGGTGCGCTTCAAAGGCAGCTTTGATTTTTCTCAGTATGTCCTGTCTGTGTTATTTTAATCTACAGGTATCGTGCTTTGCCTCTCATGGAACTTCATCGCTGTCATAGTCTGTTGGATCAAGGAGGGAGGTGGGTTGCATGGGTTTCTATAAATGCCAAAGTGTTTTTGTACATTGGCTCATGCTTAATGGTTGTTGTCTTATGCTTGTAGATTCGAAGCTGTTTTTCCTTGCCACTATCTATGCCTTGCTTGGAATTCCCCTCTCGTACTTGATATGGTATAGGCCTCTCTACCGTGCTATGAGGTATATTTTTCTGCTTTACCACTCTTTCTGTTAATGTGTCTTTCAAAGAGTATTATTTTTGTTAGCGCATCTTGCTACAGGTGTTATATTTTAGTTAGCGCATTTCAGTTATCTTGCTTATTTCCATCAGTGCATTTTACAGAGAATGCATCTCTTTTGCACAAAAGTTTATGCAGACCTGCACTGCTCCTTTGTGGAGCTAGTATAAAACATTTCAGTGGACCTGAACTATGGTTTGTGCTGTATAGTTCTGGAACCATGGCTTTATTATTGTATCTGACACTTTCTTTTACTTGTTAAACAGGACTAACAGTGCGTTCAGTTTTGGATGGTTCTTTCTCTGTTACTTGGTAAGTTATAGCTGAAAACTGTTTTTTTATGTTTTCTTGACATTACAACTACTGCTTATCAAATGGATCATATCATCTTCTTTTCATTGATATTTGGCACAGATCCACATTGGCTTTTGCATTATTGCTGCCATTGCCCCGCCAATTGTGTTTCATGGAAAATCATTAACGTAAGTTATATCAAGTGTTTGCTTATTAATATGCAGTTATTTGGTATTTAAATATTGACTGATGAATTATGAAATTCTAGAGCTCATTCTTGGTAGTATTTTTTGCATGTTCTTGTTTCTGAGATATTAATATTACATGTTTATTTCTCTTTTGCTTATCAGGGGCATACTGGCTGCCATAGACACCTTTTCTGAGCATGTGATAATTGGGGTGAGTTGAATTGCCTCATTCCATTTCAAATCCTCCTGATAAATAAGCAAGCTGGATAGCTTTTCTGCAATATGTTGTGTGTCCAGCACTTTGAATTAACCTTAAGGTGCCAACTAGTAGGAAATTAAGTACTGATGTTTTTCTTTTCTTGCAGATCTTTTACTTTGTGGGGTTCGCGCTGTTTTGCTTGGAGACACTGCTGAGCATTGGAGTTCTTCAGGTCTGGAACAAAATCGTGTTCTCATAAACTGATATCCCCTCTGTCAAATGAGCTATCAATTCTATCCATAACTCTTCGAGGGATCTGTCGCCTTCTCTGTCCTTATATATATGTGTTTTAGCACTAGTTAGCTTAGCACAAGAGAAGCCTACGTTATTTTAGGGTAAATCAGGGTGCACACATGAAATGAATGTAAGGCAGATATTAACTTATGAATGCTCTATGCATGTATTAAATGCACCACATATTTCTTAACCTCTGGTCTGCTTAAAGCATTAAACTTGTTACTTCTCTTTCCATATTATAGATATCTGCATAGTAGTAACTAATAAAGTAGTAATTTGTTGTCAGGATACTGAATGCATGAGGAAGTGGTCCGTATTCCTTCTGTAGATTATTATGCATTGAGATTAGAGCCACAGTTTCAAAAAAATGGAAACTATTGTAGTAATTCGCTATGTAAACTAAAAGTTAAGTACTTCTGCTTTCACATTGCTCTGCACCCTTTCTTAGTTTAATTTCAGAGCTAGTAAACCTCGTGAATACAATTCATAGTTCACTAAAATAAATGTCAAGGGGAAGTAATTTTCCTAATTTCTTGGTACTACAATTCCATTGTACTGCCCAATTTTCATTACCTATTAGTTAGTGTCCAAGTTTATACTCAATGTTAATTGAAGATTGCTTTTTTTTTTGGTTCCTGCAAGTCATCGAATACCCAGCTTGTCCATGGTTATGATCATTACTTGATTTGTTTGTTTTTTAAAGGGTACAAAATGTGTACATTTAATATTTTTTATTACTTCTCTATCGGTGGATGCAGAGAGTGTACATGTACTTCAGAGGGAACAAGTGAAGCTATTCATCATGATGGAAAGTTTCCGGTGATCACCAGTAGCACACCTCTTCATGCATCGCTTCTGTGCATACAAATCAGTACACCCTGAGAATGTCTCTTCATGTCAGTTTATTGTGAAACCTTTTCAAGCTTGTTATGGGGTAGGTTGTTAGCATCGTTATCATAGCTTTGTGTCTGGAACGAGGTGTTTTGATTCTTGGCAAACTGTAGTCCGTATGTGATTGGGTAGATCGCCGGTTTGCCTGTTGGTTACCGTTAAATGAGCTAAGGCTATTCTCGCTCGGGAAAATAGACACAAAATTGCATTCAGACCTGGATCATATATATGCACCCTTGCGGATTGTTGGCTTGATGCTGTGCTTCCCGATTTTTACTATCCATCTAACTCAAAGCAGATTCATCTGGCACAATTCGTTGCAAGTTTCCAGTTTTATCTGCACAATTGTATGTGATGCCTACCTGGAATTTCTATCTACCTGATTTTTTTCCCCTGCTGTTAAAGATGCTACCGCAGTCCGGTATGCTTGCTGATCGCATGGTACGGTTGCTGTTACTCTTTGACAATAAGGCAGAGAAGCGGCGGTGCATGCAATCATGCAGCGTGGCAGGGATCTTCTCTAGAACCAGCGCCCTGAACTTTGAATGGAAACCAAAGCACCCCTGTGGGTCAGTTTGGGCGGTCGTTTTGGCGTTCACAGCAACTTGACAAACTATGGGCCATCTTCTGTGTTGCTCCAATACTCGACGCGTCCGCTTCTGCAGTCCATTTCAGCCAGCTCCTCGGTGGAAACCCATGTTTGTACCTTCTTTGACAGAGTCTGTTCTAGGATGGCTAGCCTTGGTCATCAGTGACAAGTAACATCGCGCGTGATTGCGGCTATCAGTTAGTTTAGGCAGTTAAAGCAAGCTCAAATCAACGGATAAACAATTGAGCAATGCGCTCGTGGCAAATCCTACAACTCACGTGTGGTGCGTTAAAAGAGGAAGAGTAGAATCAGTAGTACTCAGTATCTTTGTATGGTTAACCGAGTGTGTTTCAAGAGAATCACCATTTTCACCAATGGAATCATAATGCAATTCGCCAAATACACCAAACAAACACATACGTTGGCGCCCTCCGTTTTCAGCCGGCCACCCTCATGCCGCCACCACGTAGGACCACCATAATCTGCAACCCCGCGAAAACCACCAGTCCACCACCAAGATTTCTCTTCTTCCGCCGGCCGGCCGGCCCTGCTGCGCGCGTCTCTAGCTAGATATCGGCATGGAGGTATGCAGGACAAAGAAAGCCCATGAAAATCCAGTCTCAATCATCTCAAGCTAGCTAAGCATCCTGCAGTACATCTAGCTCAACTCATTTGATCGATATTTCGTCGCTGAGCTGAGGCTGAGCTGACAGCGAGCTAACAGAGGAAGCAACTCATCAAGCAAGAACGGACACCACACTGCAAGCTCTCCCTACTCCTTGGTCTCACTCTCTTGGACCTAGCTTCGCAACGCCCTGATCAATGGCGGCCAGGTCGTTCAGCTCGGCGAGCACGACGACCATCCTGCTGAGAAGCGGGAGGTGGAGGAGGACAATGAGGGCGGCGGCGTTCCCGTTCCGCGTGTCGTGCTCCGCGGCGGCGGCGGCGGCGGCGGGCGGGACGGTGGTGATCGGGCTGGCTGCCGACTCCGGGTGCGGGAAGACCACGTTCGTGCGTCGCCTGACGAGCGTGCTCGGCGCCGGCACCGCGGCGGCGGCGGCGCCTCCGTGGGGCGGCAACCCGGGCTCCAACACGCTCCTCGGCGACGCCGCCACGGTGATCTGCCTCGACGACTACCACTCGCTGGACCGCGCGGGGCGGAAGGAGAGGGGCGTGACGGCGCTGGACCCGCGCGCCAACGACTTCGACCTCATGTACCGGCAGCTGAAGGCCATCAAGGAGGGCCGCGCCGTCGCGAAGCCCATCTACAACCACGCCACGGGCCTCCTCGACCCGCCAGAGCTCATCACTCCCCCCAAGATCCTCGTCGTCGAGGGCCTGCACCCAATGTGATTAATTTTTGCAATTTTTCTTCTCATGTTGATCTACAACTTCTACTATACTATATGCCGGGCAATGCACATTAACGTGTGTTGTGTTTGCGTTACTCCAGGTATGATGAGCGTGTCAGGGGCCTGCTGGACTTCAGCATCTACCTGGACATCAGCAGCGACATCAAGTTTGCATGGAAAATTCAGGTCTGTTTGTGTCACGATTTGCTCGGGAACAGTGACAGAGTTCAGTTCTCTTACTTATGAATAGTACTAGCATTTTGCGGCGTCCCATTTGTGCAGAGAGACATGGCAGAGCGTGGGCACAGCCTGGAGAGCATCAAGGCCAGCATTGAAGCCCGGAAGCCCGACTTCGATGCGTATATTGGTAAAAACACACTAATCCACCACTAAATCAAAAGATCGAGCTCAACAAGGTCAACACTGGCATCCATTTTTGTGTACGTCTTCTGTGCAGACCCGCAGAAGCAGTACGCCGATGCCGTGATCGAGGTCCTGCCGACGCGGCTGATCGCCGCCGCGGACGACGACGGCGACGAAGGCAAGGTGCTGCGCGTGAAGCTGATCATGAAGGAAGGCGTCGAGCACTTCGCGCCGGCCTACCTCTTCGACGAAGGATCGACCATCAGCTGGATCCCCTGCGGCAGGAAGCTCTCCTGCTCCTACCCTGGCATCAAATTCTCGTACTTCCCGGACACCTACTTCGGCCACGAGGTAGTAATTATCAACAACCCATCACCGATTCAGCAGATGTGAGGAGAAATTGCAAAATTGATGTGGTTTTGTGAGCTGCAGGTTTCGGTGCTGGAGATGGACGGGAAGTTCGACAAGCTGGACGAGCTGATCTACGTGGAGAGTCACCTCAGCAACCTGTCGACCAAGTACTACGGAGAGGTGACGCAGCAGATGCTGAAGCACGCCGACTTCCCCGGGAGCAACAACGGCACGGGGCTCTTCCAGACCATCGTCGGGCTCAAGATCAGGGACCTCTACGAGCAGGTCGTCGCCGAGAGGGCCGCTTCGCCGCCGGCACTGGCTGCCGTTGCCTGATAGCCGCCGCCGGGCCACCGGCATCCGCCGGAGTTCGGGCGTATCGGTTAATTTGTATTTCTTGTAATTGTAATATTTGTATGGTGTATTCATGTGATTTGATTGCATTGGCTTTTAGCCCAATTGGGCTTGGAAAGTTGAGACGTGAAGAGCTCGTTGGCGCTCTACCTCTAATCGTCTATCTACATGCCATTTCTTCCCCCGAAAAAGGAAGATATCCCTGCCAACGTTAGCGATCCAAGTGGAACGCAACCTTTATTTAATGGGCCATATTGGGCTGAACTACCGCATGAGCCTGCTACAACGCGGCCTGTTTGAGGAGCTTCTATCAATCTTCATCGGAAAAAGTATACTTTAATTCCCTTAACTATCTCCGAGTATGATTTATATCTTCCAACCACAAAACCGGGTATATCGACTTCTCAAACTATCAAAACCGGTGCAAACAATATCCTTAGGTGGTTTTAGCTGACGTGACGCCTACGTAGCTCTTACATGGCATTAGAATAAAAACAAAATTTAAAAAATTGTGGGACCCACATATCATCCTCCCTCTCCTTCTCTTCTTCCTCCCCTCTCTCTCCCTTACCTCTCTCTCCCCCCGACCTCTTCACCAGAGCGGCGGCGGTCGGGAGCGGCGGCAGTGGCGATGGGGAGGTTGGGTTCTTGATTGGTGTCGGATTCTTGGTTGGTTGATGGGGTTTGTGAGGTGTGGCGCTGAGTTGGAAAGATCCGATATATACTCCGGCGCGGATGGGTCGGGTCTCGCCGCTGCCGCCGCGAGGGGGGAGATGGATCGGGACGACGAGTGGCTGCCCCGCGCGCTGGCGGCATTTGGAGGAGGAGGCAGCGGCGTGTGGGAGCTCGTGGATGCCGCGCTGGCCTGTGCCGCGCACGACCGCCCCGACGAGCTGCGCGCGCGGCGCGACGGTTTCGTGGAGCGGCTCTACGCCGCCGCCGCCGGCGGCTGCAGCAACTGAGGTTTTTTTTTTTAATTTTCTTTCACCACCTCGCCGACGAATTCAAAGAAACCACAGAAATTTGACACGAGCTGCACGTTTTTTCGTTTCTTTCCTCACAGCCGGAGGACGAGCTGCTGAGCTTGCTGCAGAGCCTGGCAGACATGGACATCACGTACAAGGCGCTCCAGGTGAAAACAAAAGCTTTTTACTCCCGTTCTTCTTTCACCGTCACTGCTGTTCTGTTCCCCTTGCAACAAAAGGAGAGGAGATGAAGTTGAAGTTCCTGCTTTGTGATTTTCCAGGAGACAGACATCGGACGGCATGTGAACGGTCTGCGCAAACATCCCTCCGGTGAAGTCCGGCTACTCGCCATCTCATCCTCGTCTTCCTCATCGGCCTCGCCATGGACCGGCTCCTCAGCGGCCGCGACGGCGGCATCGTGGCGCGAGTCCGGATCTGGCTCCGCGATGGGGAGCACCACGGTGGTCGCCGTTGCCGGCTCGACGGGCATCTCGGCCACCAGCTGCTTCTCGTTGCCATGGAATCCCTCCCCACGGTGGTAGAAGCCGCCGTACCTGTACGCGTCCCGCCGGTGGAGGCCGCCGCCGTGGCGCCGCGCCAAACCGCCGCCGCCGCTCCTCCGGTGAAGAGAAAAGCCGGGGGGAGAGAGAGAGATAAAGGAGAGAGATGGGGAGGAAGAAGGGAAGGAGAGGAAGGATGATATGTGTGTCCCACAATATATTTTTTTTTTGTGTGAATGACATATGGGTTCCATGTATTTTCAAAATTTTGTTTTTATTCTAATGCTATGTAAGCGCCACGTAGGACAAAGAATTGGTCAAAACCACCACGTAGGCGCCACGTCAGCCAAAACCACCTTCAAAACCACCTAGGGACATTGTTTGCACCGGTTTTGATAGTTGGAGGAGTCGATATACCTGTTGAAGGAGTCAAAGTATACTTTTTCCATCTTCATCTCCTCCAAACAGTCCAGATTGTCGCCCAAATTCTGAGAATATGTAGTTGTATAACTAACACTCCGTGCACTCAAAGCAGAGCAACATATTAGCACATGATTAATTTATTATTAGTTAATTTATTTAAAAAAGATTAATATGATTTTTAAAGCAACTTTTTATAGAAAATATTTACAAAAGACGTATTGTTTAGTAGTTTAAAAAGTGTGCCACGTCAAACGAGAGATATGAGTTGGGAAAGTGAATAACCGAACTCAGTATAAAAGGGGAAGTGAGGGGTTAACTTCGTGGGGTCTTTGGAATTTGTATTGAAAATCCAATTTTAGAATTCATTTTATTTTATTTGAAAATTTATTTAATATAATGTTGGGTTTTAGATGGACTATTCTTTCAATATTACTTATTTTAATTCTCGTATTTTAGTTTGCTAAATTGTATTCCTAGTTGAATTCTTTGGAATTCGTATAAAAATCCACTTTGGGGATTTATGTTATTTTTAAATTGTAATTTTAATTAATCTTATTTTGTATTCTAGATGGACTCTTATTCCAATATACTATATATTTTATTCTGGTTTTCAGTAATTTATAATTTGTATTTCTACTTGAACTCTTTAGAAATTGTAGTGGAATCTAATTTTGGGATTTATTTTATTTTTAATTTCTAAATTTAATTAATCTTGTTTGTGTTTTAGATGGACTCTTCTTTTAATATATTTTTCAGATCCGAAATTTAATTAATATTATGTTGTATTCTAGATGGATTTTCTTTCAATACTTATTTTTTAAAATTTATAATTTCAGTAATTTCTAAATTGTGTTTCTACTCGAGCCTTTGAAAATTGTATTTAAACTCTAATTTCTGAAAATTGTATTGAAATTTTTTAAATCATATTTCTTAAACTCTAATTTTCTTCTGATTAAATTAAGAATTTCTAGTCTCCTTTTCAAAATGTCTTAATAATATATTTTCTGATTCCAGTGTTAGTCTCGTACTCCCGTCGCAGGTGGTGCCGGCGTCCGCTACGAAATTTGCCGCCGCCGCCGCATACTCTCTCCTCCCCTCCTGACTCCCCCAACTCGATCTCCCCGTTTTTTGTCGGCCTCAACTTCCGTCTCCTCGCTTCTTTGCTAGCCTTCGCCGTTCTCCATCCACTCCGCGGGCAGCATGTGGGTGTCGTCGTCGTGCGCTCTAGCTGCTTTCCCTTCCCGCTGTAGCGACCCACGTATTCCACTTCCGAGATAGAATACCGGTCTACGGCTCATTCCTTAGTAAGAACCAACTTACTAAGAAATGGGCACACTAAAGTAGCATAGCAGAAACAATTGTAGTGAAACTCATTAAATAAAAACCATAAGAAATTAGTTTTTACCAAAATAGTAACACTAACAATACCTTGCTCTTCTAGATCTTCATCACCTTCAACAATAAGTTGATGTAGAGAAATGCAACACTTGATCAATTTTGTCGAATCTTCTCTTCACCTAATTGTTAGCTCAACACTACAAGGAATAATATATATATATATATATATATATGTATATATATATATATATATATATATGTATATATATATATGTATATATGTATATATATATGTATATATATGTGTGTATATATATATATGTGTGTATATATGTATATACACACATATATGTATATACACACATATATATATATATATATATACACATACATATACATATATATATATACATATACATATACATATATACATATACATATACATATACATATACATATACATATACATATACATATACATATACATATACATATACATATACATATATATATATATATATATATATACACGCGCGCGCAAATATGCCCGTGCGTTGCACTGGGTGAATATCAGCTAAATATGAATGGTTAAGATTGCTGCATAAAAATCTTGAATTTGTACATACCTCACAAATATCTCCAAATTTTATACAGGGAAATATCAAAACATATTTCATATTGTATACACATTCAGATTCATGTCGTATCTCAAACTTTATAATTCATGCGTGAGATATTTCAAATTTTCTACACGTTCAAAACATATTCCAACTTTCACAAATTTTCACAAACGGGGGAGGGGAGGCAGTTATAGATCTGACTTAACCATCCTCTGCAAAGGAAAAAAGGTAAAAGGCATCCGCAATGACAAAGAAACATGCACTTAAGGAAATAAAAATCATCTTTTCATTGGTTTCATTTATTTAAAAATAATTTACTGAGTGACCAAATAATTGATCATAATTTCCCAACAATTTTAAATGTCTTAAAATAGTGACAAATAAGTTTCTGTAATTCTAAAATTAATTAAATCAGTTGCTTAAAAAATAAACTGATTTCGGCCTAAAAGGCTCGAACCGGCCTGGCACTGTGCGGCATACAAGCGCTTGTGCTAGTGCACAGCGGCCCAGCCGATAGTGCCAGCCCATGAAGACGTGGCGGCCCAGCCAAGCTAGAAGTCCTAGCGAGCAGCACAGGCGACCCAATGCGGGAGAGAGAATGGCCGTCCTAGATTGCAGCTGTTCCGGCATGTCCCTAATCCCATTATCTTCTCTTCTCCCTGATCCCCTTCTCTCCGGCACGTCCGAGCAAGCGAGTAGAGCGATGGTGGCGATGGCAGTCCGGCGAGGTGGCGCGTGCGCGACAGGGAATCCGTCGTGCGGCTCCAGCTCTTCATCGGCGGGGGGCTGCCTCTTCCCATCCTTTGCGCGACAATGGCATGGGCAGGGACGGAGGGCGCCAATCATTATACGGACAAAAAATTTTCGTGTAACAATTGGAAAATTATGTATTTTTTAAGTAGTTAAGATATTTAAAAATAAAATAATGAGCAAGTTAGACAGTGGTTGGACAAGTTTGTCTTGTTTTCCACGTGCACGCTTCCCAAACTACTAAACGGTATGTTGTTTTAAAAGATTTTCTATAAAAAATTGATTTAAAAATCATATTAATTCATTTTTAAATTTAAAATAGTTAATACTCAATTAAATATGCGCTAATGTCTCATCTCGTTTTGTGTATTTTTTAATTTTCTCTTTTCCTCCCCTCTTTTATTCGCCGCTTCTTTTCTTGATATCTCTCCCCCACTATAGTTATTTTATTTTTTCTCTTCCCCTGTCGATCTCTCCAAAGGCTCGGTCCAGAAAGTTCCCTCTTTTTCTCGTCTTCTCCGCCCTCTTCCGATCCCCTTCTGTCTCCTGCCTCCTTCCTCTCGATCCCCTTCTTTGTCTCCTTCCCCTTCACAAATTCCATCTCAAGCAGCAAGATCTAGACCTAGCACTCATGGATCAAGTGAGCAGCTGTATCATGAGCCTCAGATCCAGTGCTAGCAGTAGGAATAGATCAGTATTACGGCGGTATTGGCGGCGGAGCTCACGAATGGCCAACGGAACGGCGAGCCTGGCCTAGAAATTTAACCCAAATTTTCAGACTATTTTACGTATTAAATCCCTGTCCAGGACCAGCCAGGGTACACAAAACGACAAGTAATATACAGTTCCAAACGTAAATAAAGCGTAAAATACTTACGGAAGAGGCACTTAGTCCTCACACCGAAACAAAAGCAGCAACAGCGGAAAAAGGCTATCCTAGCGGGGCTTCAGCTCCACTCCACAGGCAAAACTCAACTGGGGTCTGAGCCTTGGTCCTCTAACTCCATCTTCAGCTCAGAAGCACTACACTTCTGAAAAGGGGGAAAAATAGCAAGGCTGAGTACAACCACCGTACTCAGCAAGCCACACCAACGGTGCAGACGTGCAAGGGGATACAAGGAGGGGTTTGAGGCTATTTGCATAAAGGCAGTTGTAAAACATTTTATTGAGCAAGACAGTAAAACTGTTGAGTAATTACAGTAATATTGAATCTCCACTGATCAACGCTACACCACGTTGAACAGGCCCAACCAACCCACCTGAACTACAGTGTATTGAGTCAATTTATTAAGATGGGACTAATCACGGTGAATCTGGTCGACCGCCCATAACCGCGGGCACGGCTATTCGAATAGTTTTACTCTGATCAGAGGTGTACAACTGTACCCACAAGACACAGCCCCACGACACGTTTCCGTGCGCCGACATGCCACCACGACATACCGGAAAGAGGCCGTGACAGGACCCTTCGCATAACCCCCTCTAGCCAAGCACACCACACCTCAGGTTTCACCCCCGTCCCCAGCGGGCAACGGGCAGTCCCCTCTCGTGCCTAGGTGAATCCGGAAGCGACAGAGGCCGTCGCAGGGCCCGCCCCGCTCCATCACGCCCACCCTTGCCTGGATGCGTCGACTAGAGGAGAGCTACACTACAAGCCCAGCCGTTGCCCACGCTGGCTTGTGGTAAGTACGATAAGTTCTTCCAGGGCATCCCGCGAACCGGTCCTTAACTGCCATGGGTGCGACCAGCAAAACCATGCACCCACAGCCCACCATTCAGACGCATTTTAGTTGGATAATTACGACCATGAAGCATGGCCAGATGTCTCGAGCACGCAGCTCATTCTGATACTAAAAGGTCTAAAACTGTAATTACCCCATCAACTGAGCTAGTGGTAATTAAGCATGGCTAAGCATATAGTACTAGCTAGGTCATCAAAGTAACACAAGCTAGGCGATTTATTACCCAAGGTTGACAAAGAACAGATATCAAGTAAACATGGCACAAGCGAGCAGATAGGTAATACCCGGATCCCATGTAATTAGCAAAACATGCATATTTATTTGTAAACGGTAAAAAATTTATAAATTGGGATCAACATGCTCAAGGGGAGTGTGTGACTTGCCTTGCTTCTTCACTTGGATCTTCTGAACTCTTATCCTTGCGAACGCGATCTTCCGAAACGACGGGAACTACACGCTGGCACGCAAAACGAGGAAAAACTCTAATAAAAACCAAGAAAACAGTACATAAAAACTAAACAAACATGTAGAGCTCATTTTTAGATGAATTTTGCAAGTTGAATGGCTCAATTCGGAGTTCGAATGAATTAGATATGAATTTTAGAAGTTTTGAGCCATTTAAATGAATTTCTATAATTATTCACGAATTATTGCGCAATTATTATTTATTTTTACAAAGGAAATGGACCTCGCTGACGTCATCAAAGGGGAGGGGCGGCGCCGGCAAGCGGGCCCCACCGGTCAGCGGCACAAGGGCGCCGGTCCACCGTGGACCGGGACCACCGAGGCGATCCACCGCCGGTCCACGGGAACCGACGGCCCGGATCGGCCCAAAGCCGATCGGATGGCCACGAGGCGGCGCGGCTGGGGCACGGGCACGGCATGAAACCGGCTCGGCCGAGCCGTGGTGCTGGGCAGCGTGCGGCCTCCGGAGGCAGCAGCCGGCGGCGCCGAACGGCGGCGAGCAGCCGGAAGACGGCGGCGCTCACGGGCAGTGGCGATGCACGCGAAAGGGAAGGGGAGCGGGAGGAGGGGCTCACCGAGCGTGCGGGCCGACGAGGCAGAGCGGGAGGTCGCCGGCGGCGGGAAGAGGCGGCGGCGCTCCTCGGGGAGGCAACGACGACGGCGGTTCGGCGGCGTTCCGTGAGCAGGAACCGGCGGCCGATGGTCGGAGGGACCTAGGGAAGGAAATGAAGAGGTTAGGAGAGGGTAGGGAGTTGCGGTGCGGCAGGAAACGCCGACCGAAATGACGACGGAGCTCACCGGGAGGCACGGGGAGATGAGTCCGGCGACGACCGGCGAACACGGAGGGATTGCTGAGCCACGGATGATGGCTGCGGTACCGTGGAGGGCGACAACACAACACGGGGCGGACTGAAGAGGCGGTGCGGCGCGGCCGGAGGCGGAAATGGCGACGGTGGCTCTGGTTGGTAGTGGGGAGGGCGGCTCGGTTGTGGATTAGAGGAACGAGGCGGTGGCTGGTGCTCGGCTTGGAGCGGCGAAGCCGACTGTGGCGGTGGCGCGGCTTGGCGGTGGCTAGCGTGGCGAGGAGAGGCGGCCGGAGTTCGGCGGCAAGCGGCGGAGAGAGGTTACACGGTGGGGAGGTGGTTCCGATAGCGGTTGAAGGAAACCGAGTGGAGGCCGGCGTGCAGCGCGGGATGGCGAAGCTGATGGCACACGTGGTGAGGCGCGGCGACGGCAGGAGCAGCGGCGGCGATGGGGATCGGCGTGGAGAGCTCGGTAGAGGGCGTGGGGACTCAGGAAAAGGGGGAAAAAGGAAGAGGAGGCCACGGGGATTGATTTTATAGCTCAAGGGGCGAGGAGAGGGCCGGGGAGCGGCGGAATCGGCCGGCGAAGTGGGGAGGTGAAGTGGAGCTCGTGGGGAGGTCAAACCGGCGCCGTTTCTTGCGGGGTGAGTGGGGGAAAAGGTGGAGGACGTGGAGGGGGTCGTGTCCATGTGGTTGGATGCGAGCTCGGGTGCGGGAGGGCGCCGGATTTTGCGGCGACGTGGGCGGCAATGGCGGTTGGGGTTGGCCGGCGAGAGGTAGGAGGAGGAGCTGACGGGTGGGACCGCCGGTCCCACCTGTCGGCGAAGGGAGAGAAGGAGGGACGCAAAACAGACTTTTGCGAGCAGGCCAAGGGAGAAGGGAGCCGGCCCGAGAGAGGGAGGAGGCGCGCGGGCCGCGGGAGAGGAAGGAGGGGGAGGAATTTGGGCCGAAAAATGGCCCAAAGAGAGGAAGGAGGATTTTATTTGTTTTCTTTTTATTTTAATTGATGCAATGATCTTTGTGCTATTGAAACTATTTCTCGAGCTCCGAAAATTCACGGAAAATTCCGGAGAGTACATTAGGGCACAAAGAATATTACAAAATATTCCCGGCCAATGATTTTTAAAGGAAATTTTAATTTCCTCTATAATTTCACTTGATTAAATTGATTAACTTTTTATTTAATTTCTAGGAAATGCATTATTAATTGATTTTTAATCCCGAACGAAAATCGGGGCGTTACAAGGAGGGACGGAGGCGGCCGGCCGGACCTCGCCTCCGCCAGATCCGGCGGCGTGGAGGCGGCTGTGGCCTGGTGGGGACGGGAGGGGAGGCGGCCGACTGGACCTCGCCACCTCCAAATCCGGCGGCATGGAGGCGGCTGCAGCCCGGATGGCGTGGAGGCGGTGGGCCGGGCCTCGCCTCCGCCATATCCGGCGGCATGGAGGCGGCTGCGGCCCGACGTGGGCGGGAGAGGCGGCGGCGTCGTCTCTCTCTCTCTCTCTTTCTTCGGCGGATGGCATGGTGGCGACAAAGGTTCATGTGTGTTCCCCCTCCCACGGTGACGCCGTCGTCTCTCCTCCTCCGCCGCGGTAGCGCTGCTCCCCCTCCCCCTCCCACGGTGGCTGGCTGTGGCAAGCGGCAAGAGGGGAGGCGGCGGGCAGGGGCGGCGCCCTCCCCTCTATAGGATCTAGTGGGAGGAGAGGCAGCGGTGGCGCGGCGTCCCAACAGGCGGCGCCTCTCCCCCTCCACCGCGGCAGCGCCGCTCCCCCTCCCCCACTGGCGGCGGCGCCGTTCCCCCTCCCCCTCCCACGGTGGCGGGCGGGTGCGGCGTCTTCCCCTCCGCCGGATCCAGCGGGAGGGGAGGCTCCCCCTCCCCCACCGGCGGCGGAGCCGTTCCCCCTCCTGCGGTGGCGGGCAGGGACGGTGCCCTCCCCTCCTCCGGATCTAGCGGGAGGGGAGGCAGCAGCGGCCCGGCGTCCCTACGACGACGGCGGTGACGGCGGCACCCTCCCCTTCCAGCGTCGGTGTTTTTGTGCTTGTGATGTTCCTGTGTTGTCGTTGTTGTTGATGAAATATGTTCTTGTGATCTTGTAGTAGTGTTTTCTCTAGGATTTTGTGATGATTCCAATTTGTATTTGGATTGAGATTAAGATTTTGTTTTTGGATTGGATTGGAATTGGATGTGGGATTTGGAGAGGAGGTGCGCGTGGGGTTATGGAGGGACGAAAAATCGGTGTGACGACCGGAAAAATCCAAATATTTCATACTCATTTGATTTGGGTATATACTCAATTTGAACAATGGTGCCCGGGCACCATGGAGCATCAAACTAAATTACTTTTGCTCCATGGTGCCCGGGCACCATTGTTGAAATTGAGTATATAACCAATTCAAATGAGTATGAAACTTTTTCAATTACTTAGGTATTAACATTAACTACTTTACTAACTAGTTCAAAGCAAGTTTGAACTGAATTTGAACTTGTTTTTGTTAGATTTTAATTCTAGGTATATAGCATCCATATATATAATTAGTTAGGTATGTAATCATGGATTGTGAAATAAAGTTAAATTTGAGTTGTTTTGTTGATAGGTATAGATATGAATCGAATTATTATAACTAGGTATATACTCACAATTTAAAAAATTTGAAAAAATTTAGCAATTTTGTGCATTTGATACCATAGTGCCCAGGCACCATGGTGCCCTATATGAGTGTCCTTTTATTATATATATATATATATATATATATATATATATAATGATTCTGTACTCCAACCTGCTTGTATCCACCGTTCATCAAAGGCCCCTCGCATCATCCATGCTACCGGGTCTCATCCTAGAATACCCGCTTTGATTTTTCGTTTTTAAAAACAATAACATGCATGATTCTTAATTATCCCATTCTTTTCGGATCAACAAACTGTCCACGTAATTAAATCAAATGACTAATCCTAGCGTACTACTCCCAGCCATTCAACGTCGCCACGAGCGGCGGCTAGCTCTCGTCCCTCCTGTACCAATCGTCGTCGGCGGTTGTGGTGGCATCTCCGACGAGATTCCCTGGTGAGGTCGTACGTGCTCCACTTCTCCCCGTCGACAGCGAATGGAGTGCTGCAGTTTCTAATCCTCGGCGGATCCATGGAGGAGGTAGACAAGTAGTATATATAGTCTTCTTCTGAGTTGATCTGAGTCCCTCCCGTCCAGATCAAATCTTCAATGGTGCTGGTAATACAAGTCCTTTGTTGTAGACCGAAAAGATTCCCTGAATCACTTCGATTAATTTGTCTGCTTAATTAGATCCATTACTTCTCGTTTGTTTGATGCGAGGCCCTTTGTATGATTAGGCATATAATTTCTTTGTTGCATGCAGTGTCGTAGATTCAACTCATCCTCCCAGCCCTCACCCTCAGCGTTCCCAGCCGAGTGGTGCGCGGCCGCTGCGTCAGTGCAATTTGTTTTCTGGACCGGCGAGAGCTCCGGCAGATCAAACCCATTGCGTCACACTGAAAATTGCAATATACTATTTTGCTGACAGCTTCTACAGTGAAGGTACCAATCAATGAGCTAGCTAGTGTAAGACTGTAAGCTCAGTCGATAATAGCACCTCTCGGTAGTACATATTTTTAGGTATTAATACTCTGTTACTAGATATATAGTATATACTGATTTTAAACTAAAAACAGTATGCACAGCTACTAAACTAAAAAACAGTATACACTAGCTGGTACAAACTTTAAAAAAATAGTATATACTGATGTGGCCAGTACATACTTTTTTTAGTTTAAAAACAGTATATACTGCTACTAACATAAAAAATAGTATATACCGTCTTTAAAAACTATCAGCACAAAGATAACATATTTGATTGCTCCATTAATTCACAACGGCAGCCGTACATGCTGGTGATGAACATGTTTCCGGATGACGCAAACCAAGAAGCCGGAAGAATGAAACGGTATGTGACAAATGAAACCAGACTAATGAACCACTATGCATAACATCGCTATGAGCATTTGCCAGTGAGCCAGTATCAGTATGTGATCCTGATGGGCATGTCTTAGTATATATAATATACTGCTACTACATTAAAAAGTATATACTGCTTAAAACAAATTAAATATGCGTTTATACTACTTCTAACTATAAAAGTAGTATATGCCCGACTTAAGTGTATATATATACTGGATTAAAAAAGCATTACATACTGGGATAGAACAGTATATACTGAAAACAAATAGTATATTCTACTATAAACAGAACAAAATATGTACTGAAAAAATATAGTATATACTAGTGAAAAGAGTATATACTTGTACTAACTAAGCAAAAAGTATATATAAAATTTTGAATGTCGCCATTCCTCACCGTCCGGTGTGCATGCATATGAAAATTTGAAAAAACAAATAGAACACAACCGACATGCATGCAGAAATTTGAAAACAATTAAACATTATTTTTTAAACCCAACTATTCATTACCAACTAATGGATATCCAACAAGGAGGAGGGAGTATGTACACCCAGGTGTACAAAACAGCCGTAGCAATCCAACAAATATATATAGGGGATGAGAACGATTGGTACTCAACAAGTCCAACTATAGCAATCCAACAAATATATGCCCATAATCCACTTGCATAATACATATATCTCCAAATCCCATAATCCAACAAGGAAGTTTTATGCATGTTCATAAACACAGTGTAGTAAAAGCTCATATTAAGCAATTATAAAATCTACTACATATAAGGCACCATAGGTATTAGAACCTCCGATAGGTTCCTTTCCTGCCGCATTCGCAGTTTCTACCCGAAAAGGGAGTGACATATCACAATTCATACACTCTGCAGAGGTGTGTCGCTGTACCCATAGAAGCCTTAAACCTTTTAACACCCGTGCTACACCGCCACCACGCCAGCGCCTAAGCACACTTTATGGTATATGTCGGCAAGGCTAAGGTCACAAGCTTTTCATCAATCCCATCTGCCAATTATCTCTCGGGTGATTCCCGGAACAACGGCGAATCATCGGATCCCGCAACAACGGCAACCCTCATCGGTAGCCCACGCTCATGGGATTCGCGAAAGTCCTTAAGCCCGCAGGATAAAGCCATTAAGAAAGAACTACTAAGCCAGCCTGTCCCATTCCAGGTCATATGGTCGACACGATCGCTACGGCGCTTGAATGCCATATAACAGTTGTTATTTAACCTTATGATGATAAATATATGCAACTGAACCCCCACCACCATAGCAGGTTCAGAATACATCTATAATATGACTGACTGCTCCACCAGTCAATCCAATCCATCAGCATATTTATTTCAATTATAGAAAATATAATTTAATGCAAAGTGATACATATAGATTGCAATTACGAAAATATAACAAGAGTTGATCAAAGGTGTTGGACTTGCCTGAGATACCCAAAATTGAAGAACGAATAAACCAACGAAGATTTCCAGAAATCCAAGATAAACGCCCAACTGAAAGAAACAATAAAACACAACTAAATACAAGAATATTTATATGAATGCGATGCACATGATATATTTAACATGAATGCACATACTAGATCTATATAGGTTATGGACTTACTTTTATTAAACTTTCATTTTAAGGAAGATTAGTTATTTTACTTAGAAGAAAATTTGCTTCTCAAGAGAAAAATATATTTAATAGCCACAAGTTATATTGATTTATATAGAAATATACATCTTTACTTTCTTTGATCAATAAAGTAGTTCATAAGATATATTTTGAAGGAGATACTTCTATTAGGATTATGATATGCAAAGTTAAGTTGTATTTGTATGTACTTAAATTACCAATCTGATAAAATGAATAGACCAGTGACTGTAATAATATATCAAGATTTTCAAGAATTTATTTTAAAGAGTTTAAACCAATTTAAATATTCTATAATAATTTCTTTTTTATCCAAGCTCTACTTCTTAATTTCTTTAGAGTGTGTTTGGATAATAGGAAATGGGGGATAGAATTGGGATTGAGAAATAAATGAAGGGTTAGGATTAAATGAAAGAGGGAGAATAAATGGTTAGGATTTAAAGATGGGTGGAAAATCATTTCCCTTTCCCATTTGCCAAACACTATCTTAGTTTCCACCATCTACAGCCCATTAGCAAAAGCCCAACAAAACACAACCCACCTAACCCACCTTCTTGATTCTTCCTCTTCTCTCTCTCTCTCTCTCTTTTTTTTCCTCGTTCTCTTCTCCTCCCTCACGCTCTCTCCCAGGCCGCGCCATCAACGCCGCCGCGCTCCCCCGCTCCGGTCGCCGGACTCCAACTCCGGTAACCCTCCAGTACCCGCTGCCGCCGCGAATCGGTTCCCCTGGCTCCCACGAGCCTGCTCCTGCTAACCCTAGCCATCCGCCTCCTGCTGCTGCAGCCCCCATGGAGATGGCCGGTGGAAAACACAGCACAACTGGTGGCTGCACCCTATCCCCATTGGTGAACACCCCAGTGTCCAATTCTTCCTCTCATTCTTCCTCTCTCTTCTGCTCCTCTGATATGATATTTGTGCTCTCCTGTGTGGTGTGTGTGGTAATATACTGTGGATTATGGTGTATGGGTGATGTTTGTGAATTTTTCCTAAATAACTCTCGTGATGGTGATATACTCATGACTGCCCTTGCTGGCTCTTCTTGACTAATTGTTTTACTATGGCTAAATGATGCCTAGATGCTATGAATGGATAAAATACCCACATACACAAGCATACGCTTTTGCAATATAAGATTAAAAATAGAAATCACATTATCAGGAGTGGTCCTTATATATGCTTGTATTCAATGGTGATTAAAATATTGAAATCTGCTATATGCTAATATGTTAGCAGGATCAGCTCCCCTATGCTACTATTCAGAGCATAATACAGGAATTCAATATTAATTCCTACATGCATGATGCAGTATGGTAGTATGACAAAAGTGATCAAATGACCTATGAACAATGAATATTGATCTATATGACAAAGTATACTGATTACTAAAAGCTCTGATAAGTAATTTTGTGTTTTATGGTATTGATCATAGCAAGGTTATATTACCAACTCCTACGGTTCTGATTTTGATATAATTCTCTTCTAGGTGACTTGCTGTAGAGGCCCATAGGTTTCGGTTTATGGATTTGCATTCAAAACTAAAAATATACATGTACACCTGCTAACCATATTAATCCTATAGATTCAATATTACTTATTTTAAGAACTCCATTCGCATGATGATTCTTGCTACAGCTAATTAACATAATTTGGCTGATAATGCGATGCTACTATTTCTTACTGCTTACTAATTGATAAATGATTTATCTACAATTGAATTATCCTAATTGACAGAATTGCTATAGTTGTCCTCCTTCATGATAACTTAAATCTATGCTAGGGTTCAGATACTAATTTCCAAGTCCATGGCTAAATCTAAAATCTGATTTTATCTATATGTCGAAAAAAATCAATATTTGTACTATGGACAAAAATCTGCAGTTAGTAAACTTGATAAAGACATAAGATTGATGATATCTTTATATACATTCTACTGTTTCTTGATTTATCACCTGAACACTTGTTTATCTATAGTAAAATTTTAGTTACACATATATAACTATACTATCCAGATTCTTATGATCAAAGCCAGGTTCTTGCATCAATAAAGCATCAATAATCCCATGCATGTACTGAACCCTGATTTCTTCTATTAGCTACATGATGACATAATTAATCTCAGCCAGAATTTATCTTCTACTTGACATTTAGATGAAAATATTTATATCATATTAGTTACACATTCTGTTTTGAAGCTCAAACTATTTAATATGAATATTTTACTGAATCTAAGATGCTCTGGTTCATCTTCTAATGGATGCAAATGCAACACCCAAGTCCTACGCATACTAATATATGCATCACACAAGAATCATGCCATGATATGATTTTAGTTCTATTCTAATCTGCAGATTACCTGGTTAATGACTCTAGTATAATTATGAAGGTTGTATGATTTTCTCTTCTCTGGTTTCTACAGATACTCCCCCTGGACTCCGGTTCAAGGATTCTCCTATTGGAACTCTAGCTTCTCCCCTTGCAGTTGATGTACCAACTCAGCTCCTCCTCCTGGAGCTGAAACCCCTCTCCTCTTGAAGCTCAGGTACCTCCTGCTTGATTGAAACCCTGACCTGCTACTGAATTATTTGGTTTCTTGTTCCTTGCTGGTTTTGCCTCCTAATCCAATTTACAACAGTTTCCTTTTCTCTTTCTTGATTTGAAGATTCTTGCTTCTCCTGGATCTCAAGCATCTCCTACTCATCTACTTTGATTTGTCTATATGATTTCCTGGCCATGGTCGCTATGGTTGCTCTGATTGTTTTGTACTAAACTAATGAACTACAACAGCAACTATCTCTCTCTCTCTCTGAGTCACCCTAGTCTCCTCTGCTGCTCACTCTAGGCTGCTACGGCTGTGGTGTTGCATGACTGAGGTGTTTACTATTGATATGCTACCTATGATTATTTCTCTGTCTTCAGCTGAGTCTCTAGCCGAATTGCTGGCTACTACTGCTTGATTCTGTGGTTGATTGTTCTTGCGACTGAGGAGTATTTTACTATGGCTGCTGCTTGAGATTGGTTTCCAACCGATGTAACCAAGACTGGTTCTCTAGTAGCTGGGTTGATATATGGGATAATTTTTTTCTTTTGTGACTCACCTGCTTGCATGCCGGTTGGATAAGGGCTTGCTGCCACCTCAACAAAGCTGGTTTGGTGTGATAATCTCAAGCTATATTTACGATCAATAGAAATTTTGTAAAGCCTGACATGTTTAGTGCTTTTGCACTTGAGTCCCACAAGTTTAGTAAAATTTAAGACTACTACGAATTTAGGGACTGATATGCAATTGCCCTAGAACTCAAGAGTTTTTCTGAAAAATAAATAATTATTGAATCTTTGACTGAGATGGTTCAGTTTATGATATGATATCTATAATCACCATGTATATGCACAATATATAGAATGCATACTGTATAAAATTTCTAGTGTACAATTATATGCATGTATGTATGCAGACCTGTAGTGGTAAACTGTAAATAAAGAACTGTGATTTCTACTGTGCATATGTGTACCTCGCTTCGTGACGACTAATCTACACTATAGTTTAACCAAAACTAAATTATCCCACTCCTCACCAGGTTTAGTCTAAATAAGAATAAATCAATGATGCATATGGATATGACTAAATAAATAAATGACAAGGAAACAATCGAGAAACCATTTAATATCCAGAATAAAACAACAATCAATATATTTATAGGTCCTAGCCAGCATCGTGGCTCAATCAACACCGCTCTCAGCCAGTGTGACCAAGTCATTAGCATGACTAAGACTATAGCTAAATACTCGGGATGTTACACCCGCCTCCGGTGAGCACCCGTGCCGACGCACATCCTCTTTCTTTGCCATCCCTCCCGTTCTACCCACACCCTTTTTCTCTCGAATTTGCCTCAACCTTATCTTCTCTTCTAGATCTGGAAGCTAGGTTTTCTCTTTGCCTTTTTATTAACCTTTTAGTTTTACTAATAACACTAATTTTTGTTCCCCATTAGGTACGCCGCTGTGTCAGCAGGATGCCACGCAAGGTTGTCTCTGGGCCTGACTACGATGACGAGTACGACGATGACTATGATGAGTATGATGAGGACTACGATGATTACGGTGAGACCGGGCACAGTGACGACATTCAGCACCCCGTGAAGGAGGAGAAAGGTATTATGTCGAAGGTTTGAAGCTAGTACTAGACAGTGTACACCTCAGCTTGTAAGAATGGTGAAATAGCTATTAGAGTCGCTTCATGATGCACACTTAACATATCTACTCGTGTAGGTTAGTTACGGCGGTGTAGGTTACAAGGAGCGTTCACCCGGTTATCATAATTTGCTCAGTGGTGTTAAATGTTGTTAATGACATTACATTGTTTCCATCCTGCATTCGTACTTGCTATCGCATCCTCTATTGCCTGAATATGCAAATAAGAACACGGTATGCTTAATTACTCTAAAACTTCCAATAGCATTGCTTGTTCAAACAAATGCAGTGATCGTGTAGCTTATGTCTGCCGATTACCTGGCCTTGCTCTAATTTCCTTGCCCATTTATCCCATCATATGCACTTCAGATATTTGTTGTCTCGAAGGCATTGTTATTCAACATGCATTTTTTGGAATGAGTCAAATATCATTCATCCAGTTAGTCCATCAAAATAAAAACTTACTGCAAATCAAATCTACCCAAATTGGGTGAGAATCGAAACATAGCTGGCTGCCAGTTAGAACTACCAGGGTTACCTACTGGTTGCTTACTGAATCCTGGTGCATATGCATATTATTGTTCTATATATTTGAGGCCTTTTGAAATAATTCATATGCCTATACATTTAACCGTTGCTTTCCTCATAAGCTCCATGCACTGAATGCTTCACTTTGTTGTTGTACAGTGAGTTTTTTTTGTGATTTATTCAGCATATCAAGCTAACTGCGCCTAGTACAGCTCCTTGATCTCTAATATTATGTCACCACTCTATTGTGCAGAGTCATCGAAGAAGTCCTCAAGTACGGTGCCTGTGCTTTGGAGATGCTCCATGTGCATGTTCGATAATCATGAAAGCATGGTGTATTGTGAGATGTGTGGGGTTTTTCGAGAATCCTTTATGAAATCTGCCAAGGATGGTTCAATAAAAGGTAACATGCTTCACCCATTCTAATTTTCTTTGAATCACAATTTGTATTCCAACAAGGAATTCTAATGTAATCATAGTGTACTTATAACTATTAAATTACAGTCCATGGGATACCAAGTGATTTTGGGACACCTTCGATGCCGAAATCTGACTGTACCAAGATGCCAGTGAATACTCGTACTACAGACTTTGATGGTGACCCTGAGATAAAGAATGCTAGCATATCTCATGAGAAAGGTACTGCTGGTGCAAATGGTAGATGCTTTACAATTTTGTGTATGCAACTCTGTTCTACCTTTAAACTAGCTTCTCCTTCTATAACACCTTATTGAGTTATGAAAAGGATAATTCATTATTCACCATATAAAAGAAGCACATTAGATCATCTTATGTGCGGGAAGCAGATTTTGATCCTTTTCTTTCCCAAGCACCATTGTTACTTAGTGTGGCTGAACAGATTGTTCCCTTGCATACCACTTAAAAATGTTTCACCTGTTGGGCAACAACAACCCACAGCTCACGTGTCATGCACTCCAAAGACTGAACCAAGCTACTTTTGTAAGGGTGACTTATTTGTACTCGATTTGCAGATCTTCCCAACCAGTTGTATCATCTGTTGGTTGATAAGCCTTCCTGTTGAAAAAAAAATCCTGTTAGCTGTGTTTTTTATTGTCACCTTAATTTAAATTATTTTATTATTCAACAGTTGGTTCCACGCAGTACACATCTGCTGGTAGCTCATCAGGCGCTGGGAAAAAGGTGAAACACATTGCACTTCCTGAAGATGTGCCTGTCGAGAGGACAGCTCAATTGATTTCTGATCATTTTCAGCTGAAGGAGGACCAGAGTAGTAGGGCTAGCAGTTCTGCGCAGAATGAGGATGTGGCCCAGAAACTTTCTTCTGACATACAGAAGCTAGGTTTAGAAAAGAATGAAGTAGATACTGCAAAACCTTATTTACCTGAAGAATATAAGCCTGAGAAGTGGATGTTCGCTAATGAGGAATCAGGAGTGCTGAGCCAACTAAACCTTGCAATAGTATGCTATACTCATCTTCTGTTCTGAATATGGCATATGTTCCTTAACAATTTTGTTATTCTAAAAGTGCTTTGTCTAAATAGGTTACTGTCTACGAACAATTTGTTTAGGTAGGTCATGTTGATTCTGGCAAGTCAACACTCTCTGGGAGACTGCTACATCTGTTAGGAAGGATATCGAAAAAAGATATGCACAAGAATGAGAAGGAGGCTAAAGAAAAAGTAAGTTTATTATTGTTGTTATTGTACTCTACTTGATCCTGATGTTCCATTCATATTCTTTGTATTATGGAAATTATTTTTTACCAGGGAAAAGGATCATTTGCTTATGCGTGGGCTATGGATGAAAGCAGTGAAGAAAGAGAAAGAGGCGTGACAATGACTGTGGCCGTGGCTTATTTGGAGACTAAGAAGTACCGTGTAGTTTTGCTTGACTCTCCAGGCCATAAAGATTTTGTACCAAATATGATATCTGGCGCAACGCAAGCTGATGCAGCTATTCTTGTTGTTGATGCTTGCACTGGTTCATTTGAAGCTGGCATGGACGGTGAAGGAGGGAAAAGTGTTGGCCAGACAAAAGAACATGCTCAGCTTATTAGAAGCTTCGGCGTTGAACAGCTTATTGTTGCGGTCAACAAGATGGATGCCATCGGCTACTCGAAAGAAAGATTTGAGTTCATCAAGGTTCAACTTGGTAGTTTTCTGCGGTCATGCAATTTCAAAGATTCATCTGTTACCTGGATTCCTCTTAGTGCTGTTGAAAATCAGAATTTGATCAAAATTCCTTCTGATGTCCGTTTAACTTCCTGGTAAGTTATGTTTTGACACACTACTTCCATGCCATTCGGAACACTACATCGTGTAGAATTTTTCAACAGAGGTGGCTGTTTCATGCATCTTGCAATTTCTAACCTTTTCACATGGTAATATCGACATATCGTAGTAAGCACCCATTTGGGTCAAATCAGATAGTTTGGATGATTTGAACATATATGAGAATAGCATTACTGATCTTTTGAAATATTTGGGACCATACCGTCTTCTCAGAATAAAAAAAATCATATATCTGAACAACAGGAATCTTGAACTGATGTCCTTTCAGGTATCAAGGATTTTGTCTCTTGGATGCTATAGATTCCTTGCAGCTTCCATCTCGGGATGTTTCAAAGCCCCTCATTCTTCCTATCTGTGATGTTATCAAGTCTCAGTCAACAGGGCAGTTTGCAGCCTTTGGAAAATTAGAGACTGGAGCTATTCGAATTGGTTCAAAGGTACATTCCTCACAAATCAGCAGGGACTGTTGATACTTGTATATTTAACTGAGATCAGCTCCAAATATGAGGATAGAGGAAAGATTGATAAATAGCGTTTACATTGTGACATTTGCCAGTTGCATATTTGCATGCCAATCTTTCAGTAACAGCATGGTGTCGGAATTTGGTCTTTTTTCAAAAAAAATATATTTATACTTGCTTTTGTACACAAATATTTGTCTTGACATTTCTATCTGTTCTGACAGCTTGGAACTTGCTGTTGCAGGTTTTAATTTCACCTTGTGGGGAAGTGGCGGCAGTGAAATCCATCGAGCGGGATTCAAATTCATGTGACATAGCAAGAGCTGGTGATAATGTAGCGGTTAGTTTACAGGGTATCGATGGGAGTAAGCTAATACTAGGTGGGATTCTTTGCAACCCTGGTTTCCCAGTGCCTGTCTCTAACTTCTTGGAGCTAAGGGTTCTAGTGTTAGACGTCACCATTCCTATCCTTATTGGCTATCAGGTAAAGATATGACCAAAAGCTCTCTTTGATTATTTTCTTCCCTGATGCAATCTGATAATAATACGGGCCTAGGTCGAATTTCACATACATCATGTGAAGGAGGCTGCGAGGGTTACGAAAATCGTGGCATTGCTTGACAAGGCTGGCAAACCAAGCAAAACTGCACCTCGTTTTCTTAAGTCAAAGCAGAATGCAGTTGTGCAGGTAACAACTGATCACAGATCCTTGTGAGGAGCCATTGCTTACGAAGTCATCATCTGCGATGTTTTGATTTTCTTGATATTTGTCAGGTTACCTTAGACGCTCCGGTCTGTGTTCAAGAATTCTCCAAATGCCGAGCTCTTGGCAGGGCATTCTTAAGGTCTTCTGGAAGCACGATCGCTGTTGGAGTCGTAACGCGGGTACTCCGGCAAGATCAGAACTGAAAGACCTCCGCCCAACATCTGAAAATTTGAACGTATCTGCAGCCGTGCTTTGGGGCCCATATTGTAGCTGACTCAAAACGGTACTGTAGTATTGTCGATCAGAAGTTTGGCGACGGCATTTTTCACTGTGTGGTCGTCGCCATTTCCATCGTGCATTTCAGAATTTGCGTTGAGATATGGCCTGTAAAATAGTCACTTTCACGAGTTCTAACCCCCAGTTTTGTGAATCACGGAATTTCTTTTGCGATCCTTCACTCTCTTTTTGTCTGGCGGTTATATATTTTGTGGTTATTTGTAATTTTCTTGTGCCTAATGAAAAAGGGGTTTCAGGATTTCATTTTTATTTAGTTCCTTAATAGGCCAAAGCAACAACACAAGAAAAGAAGACACTGTAACATACTGCATATAAATCGCATCCGATCTGACCAATACTAGCATAGGGAGAAAACTTAGGGGACTCCTAATCGGCGCGTAGTATTAGATAGTTAGGATTTTCTTTTTTTCTATGAGAAACAAACAAATTGAAAAGAAATATATATCTGAAGTCAAAATTTTAAAATTTTAAACCCAGATTTGTAAACTTTTAACTCGAAAATTGAATTTTTTTTAAAGTCAAATTTTGAAAACTTTCAACTTTTCATCTCAAATTTAAAAAACTTTCAACCCAGATTTGAAAACTTTCAATTCAGATTTGAAAACTTTCAACTTGAGATTTAAAATCTTTCAACTCAGATTCGAAAACTTTCAACTCGAGAATCGAGACTCGAAAACTTTTAAGTCCAGATTTGAAAAATTTAAAAACTTTCAATTTGGGATTTGAAAACTTTCAACTCGAGATTCGAAAACTTTCAAATCAAGAGTTGAAAAATTTCAAATCGAGATTTGAAAACTTTTTACTCGAGATTCGAAAACTTTCAACTCGAGATTTAAAAAAATTGAAAATTTTCAAATCAAGATTTGAAAACTATCAAGTCGAGATTTAAAAACTTTTAAGTTCAGATTTGAAAACTTTCAACTCAAAATTTATAAAATTTTAAACTCAAAACATGCTAAAGATAAAAAAATTCAGAAAAAAGTGGGAAAGAAAAGGAAAAATAGTAAAAAAAAAACAAAAAAAAAACATGGAGAAGGGGCGCGCGCTGGGCCTAAAACGCGCTCCGCCGGGCGCGCTAACTAGCATTCGCGGAAAACTTAACCATTGACTGTTCGTGATTTGTGAGTGTCTTGCGAATGTATCATAGCATAGCATGATTAGCGCTCGGCTTACTTTGCGTTTTGCGACGAATGGCTGATCCGCTCAATCTAGATCGCACATATTTGATCGAACGGCCAGTAAATACCCAAAGGGCTTCGGAGTTTCGAACCCCGAACCCCCTGTCGATGCATGGTTGTTGGACTCTGGCAATGTCGGCCCATACACAGCCCGGCCCAGATGTTACAAGCGAAGTCAGAATGGAACACCGCCATATCTCCACCATTAGACCGGCTTAAACGCCCCCGCGGTGGTCTTCCTCCCCGACGCAAGCAGACGAGCCCACGGCCGCCGACGCCGCCCGCCGCCGGACTTCGCCGGTGAGCTTTTCTTCTCTTCCGAGCTCCCCCCTTCCTGCCCGCTTCCTGTGGTTGGAGTTGGAGGGGGGGGGGGGAGTTATCTCATCTGCAGTGTTTGCTCCTCCCTGCCCTAGCCGATCGATCTCCCCGTCCCCAATCTCCTCGCGGGCTCGGCTCGCCGGCCGGCGGCGCTGATCTCCATCCGCGCGAGCAGCGTCTCCGGCGTCCTGCCGCATCCTCTCCGGTGCATGGTCTGGTTCGATTTAGTCTCCTCCGGCGGCCCGTCTTCTCCGCCTGTTCGTTCGTTCGGCCCCCAAATCCCAGGCCGCCTCCTCCGCTGGCGGCGCGAGGCAACGCTTCCCGGCGACCTCGGGCGGCGTCCCCTTCTCCCCGATGGTCTTCGCCTCGCGCGACGACGAGGCCTGCTCTCCGGTGGCCTCTGCCTCGCGCAGCTCCGCCGCTTCCTGCGCGACGGTTGCTATACTCCTTACTATCGCGACGTTTGCTGCGGGTTCTGTTTGATTTGGGGCGACACTGTCAATGCGCTTAGCTTCTCTTGCAATACGGAAGCGTTACTCCTTGCCTTTGCCTTAACCTAGCAAATTTCCGAAAGAATTTGGGGTTCAGCTGAACCTCCATGCCCCATGTTAGATCAGTCCTTGCAGTCTTTAGTGATTTAACCATATGGCGACCGCTTCAGAGTTTAGCCTGCTAAATATTCTTTAGCAAATTTCTTATCACACCTTTATTTTGCATTTCTGTTTAGCAATCTGTGCTATCATCGGGGTGTTGAGCGATCAAATTACATTTCATAGTTTAACGAGCACAATTTAGTATTGATTGTTAACAGTTCACAATAATAGTACTAGACTACTAGTGATAGATTGGGCGGGGAATATCTTCATTGGATGTTTATCGTGATTAACAAAATTATTGAAGACTGATATTGGTATAATTTCCATGTTTTCAACTTGCAGGAATTTCGCCATTCTGATATAAATTAGTGCATTGCATCAGAAAAATGGTTGTGGGGTTAATAAATGCTAACCCTGTAGTTTATGAGAAAAAAGAGAGGCGTTCTCGGCAGGCACCAGAAACCACAGATGAAAATGCGGCAGAGGCTATTGACCAGCTAGAAATATTTGATATCCTTTCTTTGTTTCCTTATCTACATGCTGTGTACCTCTCTTTCCTGTTATACTTACCTCTATCTGGAGTTCTGCTGCCCTCAATTTTTCTTTTGTTTGCACTCCTTAACCTTCTTACATCATATTAGAGACATAAAGGATCCAGAGCACCCATACTCACTCGAAGAGCTTAATGTTGTAACTGAGGATTCAGTTGAAATCAATGATGAACTTAGTCATGTCAGGTAAGTTTACGTCTCTCTATCATTGTATGCTACAATGGGTTGTTAATGAAATTCAGTCACAACAATTCACTGTTATTCTCTTCAGGGTTACTTTTACCCCAACAGTGGAGCGTTGCAGTATGGCGACCGTCATTGGACTTTGCCTGCGTGTGAAACTTATGCGGAGTCTTCCCCCTCGATACAAGGTATGATACATGGAGCATCTCTATGGTAGCTTGCAATCGTAAGAAGTCTGAATGAGCCCTTAATATATTGCCTGACATATACAATTTAGAAAGTCCTATAGTACTGTGACAGACATGTAATTTAGGTAACAACTATTTTCCCTTTACCTTAAAAAATATTTCACATGCTCTTCATTTATTTTGCTCCATGGTACTTTTCAGAACTCATTTAGGCATATGCCTGAATGTATACCTCAAAATATCTGCAGAATAAGTTTCTAATTGTGCAGAAACCTGTGTTGTATGTGAAACTTAATCATTATGGTTAGGAACACAGATAGGTTGTGAAGATACCATCCAAGGCATTTCATGATCGAGCTGGAGACTGATACCTAGTGATTCAGTCTTGCACATTCCATGAACAAATCGAAGACTACTCCTTTTTTTGGTGAATTGCAGTTTGGGCCACTTTTTATTACCATGGATTCACTTTAGACCACCCTTTGATCATCATTTTCACTTTGGGCTAGGTATTTTCACCTTTGTTGCAATTTGGACTACCCTAAACCACTTCTTCAGCACATCAATTCCAGCCCACCGGTGAACTCCTCCACCTCTTTGCAGATTCATATCTTTGCTGGAGGAGAGGCCAGACATGGCTAGGGAAGAGAGTTGAGGTGGTCCAAAGTGCAACAAAGTAAAAAATACCTGGTCCAAAGTAAAAGATTAGACAAAGAGTGGTCCAAAGTGAAATTTTGGCAATAAAAGATGGTCCAAAGTACAATTCTCTCTTTTTTTAGTTCATTAACATGACGAGGAAATTATGTCTTCCTGCTGTTTACTATTCATATTTCTTCAGAAATTTTTGGCAGCTTAGTCATTTATAATTTGTGCAGGTGGACATAAGGGTGGCGCCTGGATCACATGCAACTGAAACTGCAGGTACATATGTTTTAGAGGCTACAGTTTATGCTTTCACTTACCACATTCTCTTGCTTGGCTCAGTATCTCATTGTATTGTCCCTTTCTTGTAGTGAACAAGCAACTGAACGACAAAGAACGTGTTGCAGCTGCTCTGGAAAATCCAAACCTTCTGGACATTGTTGAGGAGTGCTTGTCACCAACGTTTGCTTGAGACCTGAATACAAGTATACAACTGGGAGCCTGTGTGTTGAAATGTTTCAAAACTACACTGAATTACCCTACGACGTGTAGCATGACCTTGTCATTTGAGATACCTTATGTGGTGCAGGGCGTGTGCATGAATTTTGATGGTCTGTACCTTTCTATAAGGATACTACTGCTCTACCGTTTCATACCTTTTTTCTTTTTATGGCCTGTGACCTGCCAGAGCATAATTGAAACGATATAAGGAAATACTCGTATATGAAGTATATTGCGCTGTAGGCTTTTTACCTCTCGAATATGAAGTACTGTCTGGATGTCAATATCCATGAAAAGAAACTGAAGGATATTCCATGATTTTATGCCATCTCTGTAATTATATCAGGTTGCTCTTGAACTATGCAGTCAGTTAGTACTGTGATACGATGTCTTTCAGTTGTATCGAGTCTGTCGATTCTGTGGAGCCTCTAGAGGAATTAATTATGCAAAACATGGGCCACAAATTGAATATTTTATAGGTTTGTAGTATATGTTCTGTTGAAGTTGAACCTCATCAAGATGATTTTTCAACGCACAAATGAGCCAGAAAAGAACACATCATTGGGCACGATAAGCATGTGGCATGTTTAGACTTCAGACCATGATTCCAAAAAGTTTGGACTTCAAATTGTTGTTATCACTATTTTGAGGTAAAAAAAATAGACTCGAATCGTTGACTGATAAAACCTGGTAATTCTGGCCAAACCGGTATTCCCAATCCTTGTTGTACCATCTCAAAACATCAGCCACAGAAGAAAATTCGAGGACTTCGAAGTTTGAATTGGAAGTTGGAATTGCCAAAACCAAAACACGTTTCTACAGTGTTTACACAGTCCCATACGCTAACGCCAACGCCAACGCCAGGCAGAGAGGCCGATCACCCAATGCGACCCGGCGAGCGAGAGACGAGAGAGCCGTGCCCGTCCGCGGCGCGCCTGACGGCGACGAGCTTTGGACGAGATCGCACTCGCACTCGCACGCCGATCCCGATAAAAAGATCGGCGCGGGCTGCCTACTAGTAATAATATCTCCGGTAGAGGCCGGGCCAGCCTGTCTGACGTCACACTAGCAGCGAAGCCCAAGCAGCCGACGGAATCCCGAATCCCCACCCACCCGCCTCCTCCTCCTCTCGTCCGCCCCTCCTCCGATGGCGGCGTGGGCTGACGCCGCGCTGCTCCGCGCCTCCTCCTCCCCCGCCTCCGCCACCGCCGCCGCGTCCTCCTCCTCCTCGTCCTGCTGCCTCGCCAGGCCGCGCGCATCCCTGGAGTCCAGGCTACACCGCCGCAAGGTGCGTTACGTGCTCCCTCCCCTCCTCGCTCCCTGTCAATTTGATGTGTCGCTGCCGCTGCGCGCTTCTGTTCCTCCGTTGGGATTCGCTCGGCAACTGTTTGTTGAATGCCCTGACGGGGGTTCTCGTGAGTGTATTGGCAACCTGGGATCGTCAGCTGTTCTGTTCATCCATGTATGTATGATGGGGCTCCTTAAAAATTGGAGCGCCTCCTTGCTAGTAGTAAGATTTATTTAGCTGAGATTTTTGGTGGAAAGTGTTGGATGTACGTCGGGTTGCAAAAGAAAGGGGGTCTGGAGAATAATTTAGGAATATAATACTTGGTTAAATCATTTCAAATATGGTATGCAGTCCGCTTTGCTTTGCTATAGTAACCGTAACCAATAGCTGTGTTGCACTGTGTGCTCTGTGCTGCTTTACTTTGAAATACATCTTCTCCTGCTATAGCAACATTGATAAGGTGCTTCCTTTAGTATACGAGATATGGTATTTAGGCTTTTTGATAAGGTGCTTCCTTTAGTATACGAGATATGGTATTTAGGCTTTTTGGATGCCGGGTTTTACTTTTCAGTTTTCAGCATAAATTGTACACGTTTAGTTCTTGTATTTTATTCGAGCTACGCTATAGATTTTTGATATTTTGTGATTCCTGCCATTGCAAAGCCAACTCCTAAGATGTTCTGTCAGATTATCCATATTTCTCACTTGTTATGCTCATTCAATTGCCAAGGGAGTTGGCTGTCCAATCTCTTGGTTGATTTTTTTAGACAACGTGAGGCTTGTATTGTAGTTGACATTGGATAATGATCATCACATTAAGCCTTTCTGGCCATTGGGCTTAGCATTAGTCTCCTAATTTACCAGTGTTACAACTCAATGCTTATACCATGATTCTTAATGGAATGATAAACACTGATATATTGTATAGCAGTAATATACTAGTGTACACCCCTGCCCAACCTAAGTTATATCGGGTCAACTGGATGATGGTTTGTTGTTCTGCAGAGCTTTCTTTATACCAGTAGCCCCAAATCTGGTTTCCTAATTAATAGTTGTCGAGCAAGGAGCTTGAAGGTTAAAGCAAAAATGGATTCTGGTGATGGCCTTACAAGACTTGCTCCACTTATGTTTGAAACTCCAAGCGGTCAACTTCTGGTCCAGATACTCCAATCACACCCTCACCTACTTCCTGCAACAGTTGACCAGCAACTTGAAAACCTTCAATCAGAGAAAGATGCTCAAGAGAAAGAAGCCTCGAAAGTTCCCCAGGACCTCCTTTACAAGTAAGTATCCCCAGAATTGTAGGATGCCATTTCCTTCATGATCATTTATGCTATTCTATTATTCATCATGTTTTAGTGTTTTACACTCAGATATAACCCCACTACCTGGCATGTATTGTTAGTCGCACAATATTTAAAAACAAGTCCATATGTTCTACTGCCAAAGGCTGCAATTCAGTGCGTATAAAAAAAAGACGTGGAGAAAAATCTTAGTATGCATAGCATAGATGATAAAGAAATGGTAAGGACAGAACATTAGATGTTCTAGTGGAGGATGCATTTAAAGAACTGACTGAAAAGCTAAGCTGATTGAATTACAGGAGAATAGCAGAAGTCAAAGAGAAGGAAAGGCAGAACACCTTGGAAGAGATCATCTACTGTTGGATTATTTATAAGTTCATGGAGAATGACATATCAATGACACCTGCATTAGCACCATTAGGTGGCCCTGTACGTGACATCTCCTCATTGCCTAACCAAGAGGATAGGTTGCAAAGCATACATTCCCCGGACGCTCTTGAGATGATACAAAATCATCTCAACCTTATAATGGGTGAAAAGGTAGCAGCCCCACTAGATACAGTTGTTGAAATCAGCAACTTAAATCTGGGAAAGCTTTATGCAGCATCCATCATGTATGGCTACTTCCTAAAGAGGGTAGATGAGCGATTCCAACTCGAGAAGAACATGAAGACTCTCCCGCCAAATCCTAAGCAACAGATAGTACTTGAAAACCTGAAGCCTAATCCATTCTGGGATATGGAATCATTGGTGCAAATTACACCTGATGGGGAGGAGATCGATTTGGATGATGAAGAATCAAATCCAAACAAGCTGAGGTCCTATGTTTCACGCTTGGATGCTGATACGTTGCAAAGGTATGCTACTATCAGATCAAAAGAGGCCGTCTCACTGATAGAGAAGCAAACACAGGCGTTGTTTGGACGGCCAGATATTAAAGTCTTAGATGATGGCTCTGTCAATGCAAAGGATGGTCAAATGATAACAATAACTTTCATAGAACTCACCCATCTTGTTTTGGAGGCAGCTGCTTTTGGATCCTTTTTGTGGGAAGCTGAGAGTCATGTAGAATCCAAATACCATTTTGTTAACAGTTAATCGTGTATTCGTTAATCTGGAAATGATTTGTGTACACTGGATAGGATAGGATCCAGCTCTGATATGCTTTCAGTATGAGCGATGAGCGAAGCCGCAACAGCCATGGAGCATAAATCAAATCATCCTTGTCCATTTCTCCATGCTCCTAAGGCCCTAACAGATTTGTTGTGTTAAAGAGCATCACCAACAGTCTACCTATATGATTCCCAAAACTGATTTTGAGGGATTTTAGTTCAAAAATAAGCTCCAACAGATCCCCTACTCTCCTACCCGAGTTTTGGAGTTCCCTTCTCCCGGTTCCTCACTCCGTTTATATACGGGTGCGAAAGGCGCTCCCAATCACGCAATCCCGCCTCTCTCCTTCGTTCCCGCGCGTGGGAGATAGCGATCTTTCTGCGCGTGAAAGAAAAAAAACGCTTTCTGCGCGTGAAAGAAAAAAAAACGGAATTTTCTGTTGGTAGTTTAACAGAAGGGCCTACTTTTAAGTTTTGGGGATTGAATTTAGGCTATCTGTTGGATGGAGGAGTTTTTTCACTTCCTATTTTTGGTTTAGGAAACCCAAAAACAAATTTTTAGGAGAAAATTATAGATAATCTGTTGGTGATGCTCTAATCAAACGGAGATGATTGATCGAGAATGTAATTTTCTAACTGAAAGAAAACGGCACTCATATGCCCTGTCAATAGACCATTTTTCTCTGGTGATCATTGCATTTGAAAAAGTATATTAAGAAAGGGAATATAATGTATAAAAATAATGATTTCTCACTGATAGTGGCTGCTAACTTCTGTTCATACAGACTAACATTAGAGAGGAGCTGAAATGCAGAGCGACAGCATGAAAAATATTAACAAACATCAGCTACCACTACACACGATCACACTGATCACGATCAAACGCTATCTCCATGGTGGACAGATCATACCCGACGTTGATGTTACGCTGAGGATACACTCCCAGTATCGCCCTGTTCCCCGCAGCAACAGCTAGACAAACCCAGTCTTCTGTTAAATTCTCGTCAGTGAAGAACAGCGAAGTGCCAAACAGCTCGAGATCCGCGCCTCCACCGAAGCCGAGCGTCACTGAAACCGCCTCGACATCCGTCATGTTTCCGAGGTAGCAGTAGAGGCTTGGATGCGTGAGGTCGTACCTCCTGGTGAGAGAGATGTCCTCCTCGATCCTCCTCTGCAGAGGGTAGAAGACGCTGCCCGGTAGCCAGAGCAGCGTCGTTCCGGAGTCCACCAGCATCGGCATGGCTGCTGCTGCTTCTTCTCCGGCAACATATACGGGTACAGGTTGCTGCTGATTCAGGCGACCGCCGTGCTGGTACACCACGCTCTTCAGGCGAACGGCGTAGCCGCTGCCGTCCTGCTTGAACGGGGCCCTCTTCCCTGTCATTCTTGCGTGAGAACCAAACCGGAGGAAGCTCGCCGATCTCTCCTCGTCGTCGTCGTCGTCGTCGTCGTCGTCGGTTATCTCTGATGCTGGGATGCAGTACGAGAACCTATCCACACCCAGCTGCGTCACGAACGACGGCTTGCCGATGCCAAGCGCGAGGATGCCGGTGCTGTAACCCCTGACAGCCTTGGAATCCTCGACGTGCGCGCAGCCGAACGCGACGTCCCGCTCGAGCTGGTACCCGCCGCCGTCGCCTGCCGCGCCGAAGTGGAAGACGTCCGACACGAGCTCGCCTGACACGGCGCCGCCGTCGCCGTAGCGCCGCCTGAACAGGCACCCTGCAGATCCGCCTCCGCCATCGACGACGGCGGTGCACAACTCGCACATCGGGTCGAAGCAGGAGAGGCGGCGGAACGTGCGGGACTTGGACGGATCGTGGGGCGGGTACGGGGTGAAGGAGGAGCAGTTGGTGCAGGGCTCGCACTGCGTCCACGAGAGGTCGCTGCCGGTGTCGAACAGGACGTACCTCGGCGAGATCCGGTCCGTGGGCGTGCCGATGCGGAGCTGCACGAGGTAGGTGCTGCCACCTTGTGGCCGGCCGTACAACGGCACGAGGAGCTTCTTGTCTCCGGCGGCGATGGCGGTGGCAAGCTGGATCTCCTTTTTGGCAACGTCGATCATGGTGGTGGTGGTGGTGGACCTCCGGCGAACGAGGGGGAGAGAAAATCCGCCACCGCCGCCGTCGATGGAATCAGCCTCGTCAGAAGAAGGTGCAGCAGCAGCAGCAACTGGCTCATGGACGATGGTTGCATCGCCGGAGATGAACGCCAATGCAGCAATGCTAACAAGAACAGTGACAGGGAGAGGAGAAAACATGTTGCAAAGATTTGAACGAATTGATGGCTGGCTAAAACTACAAGCAGCTGCTGAAATGTGCATGGAAACATAATTTTTTTTCTCCTGGCTGAAGCCTGAAAATTAGCAGCAAGCATGCATCAGTCATGACGAACAATTCCTGTTCTGGTAGCTCACGCCGCCACGGCGGCAAGGCGGCAATGGAGAACTAGCTCTGCATCTGCTTGGGCCAAAAGCATTTCATGGGCCGGATCCGCAAGCCCATGAAAGGCCGAGCGAAAGAGCCCACGGCCCAAAAACTACAAGCGCGCCACTCGGAGAACGATTCGACTACGGCAATTAGCAATGGATGGTAGAGGATTAGTACCACATCGCTTGGCGACGTGAGAAGGGTAGCAGGGGAAGGGTATAAAAGGAGAGGCAGGACTGCGTACAATCTTACTTACCTGGACGGGGTCTATGGGCGATCAAGAAGGTCCATGGCCTAGGCTAGTGGCCTCCATTGCACTTGGGAGGAGCACTGGCTTACCATCTCCCCAAGAGGGAGAGTGGACGTCATAATTTGTGGCAAGAGGGGGTACGCGTCCGCGCGGCCCCTACCAAATTAAATCAAATTTTTAGATGTTTACAATGTCCTAGATTGTTTATACCAGAGATCCGTTTAACACTGTTGAATGAATTTGCTAATTGTTTCACCGGGAACATCACATACTCCCAAGTTTGTTCATATCTAAATTCATCGACCAGAGGATGAAAGAAAGCCCGCCGCCGCCAATTGAGTCGTCGTCGGAAGTAGGAGCAGCAGCAACTGGCTCATGGACGGCGGCTGCATCGCGGGAGATGAACCGTACAACGAGTGCTAATGCAGCAATGCAGATCAGGACAGTGATAGGGAGACGAGAAAACGTTGTTCTGAATATTTGGGCGAATTGATGGCTAGATGGTGAGTTGCTGAAACATGAATTCCTGAAAGGTACATGTAAACATTTTCTGCCTGCTGCAGGTTAGCAGCAGGCATGATGCATCAGCATCAGTGTCCTGATTGATAGCTAGCTCACGCGGCGATGAGGGGCAACGCGGTTACGCGAGCACCGGCAGCGGAACGGCAACGGAGAATTGGAGAGTCAAAAGTTGCAGAACTATGCAACACTGTGAATAACTCTTGGACAATGCAGGGGTCGGTCATGCGCTTGGGGAGTAAGGTAAGCATGCCCCTGCGCCCGCCGCCGCCGGCGCTGGCGCCCCAGCCGGCGCCGCCCACGCGCACCCTTCTCCGCCGGCCTTCCGCGGTCTCCGCCGCTTCGTGGCCCTCCCCGCTGGCGCTTCGCTCAAGCCTCGTTCCCCCCACCAGCAAGACAACGCCGTCGTCTCTTCTGGCCCCGGTATCCCCCCTTCCGCAGCCGCCGCCGCTGGCCAGGGACGGCCACGCCTGCACGAGATCGGCCTCGGTTGTGCTGGAGACGCCAGATCCGCCACTCCGTCGCTCGTTCGCGGAGATTGTCAGAGGGGCGGCAAGCTCAAATTCAAATTTGAGCCAACAGGGCTGGGCGCGCTGTTCACCACGCCCCGTTTTCAACTCTGCATTTACCTCTCCCGTCCGGCTCAACAACCGCGCCGCTCGCCATGACACCTCGCCGCGGAGAGCTGCTCCCTACGATGCTAGCCTGCCTCCGCGTCGCGTCGCCGAGCAGGACATGGGCGGCTCTCTCCCCGGAGAACCGGGCTGGATCCGCCACTCCGTCGCTCGTTCGCGGAGATTGTCAGAGGGGCGGCAAGCTCAAATTCAAATTTGAGCCAACAGGGCTGGGCGCGCTGTTCACCACGCCCCGTTTTCAACTCTGCATTTACCTCTCCCGTCCGGCTCAACAACCGCGCCGCTCGCCATGACACCTCGCCGCGGAGAGCTGCTCCCTACGATGCTAGCCTGCCTCCGCGTCGCGTCGCCGAGCAGGACATGGGCGGCTCTCTCCCCGGAGAACCGGGCTGGATCCGGGTTCAGCGGAAGCATTGGTGGAGACGTGCAGAGCATTCAAGCGGAGAGCATTCAAGCAGGGCGCACCGGCCACCTTCAAGGCGAAACGACGTCGTCCGGACTAGGCGAGGCTGCCTCTCCCACCGCGACTTTTGGGCGCAGATCAGTGGGAAATGTTTCATTTGCCTCTCCCGCGGCCACCGTGCAGCCCAGTGTAGAGATCCAGTCCGCTGCTTCCTCTGCCGTCGCTCCGGCCATCGGGCGCGCGACTGTCGCCACCGCGACGCTGCGAACCGCGCGCCTCGACTCTGCGGCGCTTCTCGCGCTGACCGTGCTCGGCTCTCGTCCCCTCCACCACGTCGAGTTCGTTCTACCTCACACTCCCCGCCTCCGCCTCGCCAACGCACTCCACCTCGCCGTCGTACCAACACGCGCCGCCTTCCTGACACGCACCCCCCCGCCCCTCGTCGCGCCCGCTCGCCAGCGCATTCGCCACGCAACCGCGCCTCCCCTGCTCCACTGCCGTCACCCGCCAAGCAGGATCCCGTCACCCGGCCCCCGACGCCGCCTCCGCGACCGCCCCTGGCTAAGATGTCACAGCTCGGCGACCCGGCGACGCGCCCTGAGGAGGACACTTGCTTCATCCCCACCTCGTACGCCATTGACGAGGAGCTGCGTGAATGGAGTGAGACCGCAGTGGTCTCCTGGGCGGCCCGCGCTCCGCCGACCACCGAGCCGCGCGACGTCGAGCAGGCCTTCCTCGACGAGTTCAAGCTCCGCCGTGGCGAGGTGGCCGTGTCTCTCCATCACCCACAAGCTTTCCTCATCAAGTTCCAGCACCGTCGACATTGTGAGGAAGCGCTGGCGAAGGGATACGTCAAGCGGCACGGCATTGAGATCCACTTCATCAAGTGGCGCAGCCTCAAGAGCGCGCTTGGTGTCGCCCTGATGTTCCGAGTTCGGTTGTGTCTTGACGGCGTCCCCATGCATGCCTGGGCCGCGGACATTGCTGAGCGCATCATTGGTCGCACTTGCGCCCTGGAACAGATCGAGACGGACGTCGTCCACCCAGTGGAGTCTGGTAACACGCGCTCCATCGACCTATGGGCGTGGACGGCGAATCCTAGCACCATCCCGAAGAGGATGTGGCTTGGCTTCACAAAGCGGGCGAAGGACCCGAACCTGGCGCCCCTATTTGCGGTGGAGAACCCACTGGAGCACTGGCAGAGGGGGGTGCGCCATCCGGTGCTCTTCCACTTGGAGGAGATTCATGACTACACGGCGGCGACCATTGATTTGGAGGGGCAAGGCAGCTTCCAGCCGGCCAAGCGCCGCCTACCGCCTTGGAGCCTGGGAGTGCTCGACGGTGAACAGGTCCCAGGGCGAGTCTTTGAAGACTTCCCGCACCACCCGCCGCCGCCACGATCGGTCCACGAGCGCCTCGGAGGGCGTGATCGGGATGACGAGCGCCGGGAGGCTCGCCGGCCAGAACGCCGGTCTGACCGCGACGCCATCGATGGCCGCGCGGACAGACCCCGCCGTGGACGCGCAGTACGGGGAGGACACCTTCATGATGAAGGCGACCACGATGACGAGGATGATTGGGATGGCGAGCGCGACGACCGCGACGGCTGTGCTGATCGCGATGGCCGCCATGCCCGCGATCAGGGCGGGCGCGGCGGGCGTGGTCGTCGTCGGGGGTCTGGCAATGACCACCCGAGACCCTGGCGCCGCAATGACCGCGATGATGATCGTGATGACCGAGGCCGGGATCTCGGCCGTGGCCGGGATGATAGGCGGGGAAGCGACAACAACTACCGCCGTGAGCGCACGCGCTCCCCGCGTCGCTGGGACAGGGGAGGCGCCAACCGTAGCGGCGGCGGCACGCGGCGCACGGCTGATCCGGTCTACGACTCGAGCAAACTGATGAACATTCCCCTTCTACACAAATCCGCGAACCAGGCAGAGGTAGGTGAATTTCGTTTGCTCCACGCGCTGCACAACTCCAGCTTCTTGTGTCAGGAACCCCAGACGAACACGTTGTCGCCGGTGAGCCAACTGCAGTGGCTCTCCATCATCGCAGACAAGGCTGCCACGCCAGCCCTCTCGGGTCGCCCAGCCAAACCGAGGATTGAAGCCTGGTTCCAGAACGCGGCCTGGGAGCCGATCCCGGTCGAACACGCCTTCGCGCGCATCAAGTCGGCGCTGCCGCCGCCTACCTCGACGACTACTTGCCAACAAGTAGAGGAGGCGCTCCTGCGGATTGAGCTGGCGGCTGCGGCGACCGACCCCCCTGTGGGAGAGCCATTCCCGCAGATTGACTCGCCGCCCCCGCGGGTCACCTCGCCGGCATTAGCCCAAGGCCCGGTGTTGAGCTCTGCCGTCGCCACAGGGGGGGCGTCAACTTGGAAATGACTGGTGATGCAGGGGGGAAGGGCGGCCACCTGATGCTGCCGCCTTCCCCCCCGGCTGTCCAGGTAGTCCCCACCGGCGCGATGGAGATTGACGACATTGTGGCGCCGCCGCCACCTTCCCCGGTTGCCACCCAGCTTGCCCAAGCAGCAGCCTCGGCGTCACCGATCTCGACGGGCGTCCTCGATGCTCTGTTCGCCTCGCCGCCGCAACCGATCATCGCCTCACCGCCGAGGTCGCCACCAAGATCGCCGTGTGCGCGACCGCTCCACATGGGACGACGCCTCAAGATCCGCACAAGGCAGCACAGCCAGCCCACCCGACGCAGTGAGCGCATTGCCAAGCAACCAGCACGGCCGACGATGGAGCGCTGCCAACGCGTTCTCTTCAAAAGGCTGGGCGTCCTCAACGGCGAAGAAGGCGCTTCAATTGAGCAGGTCATCGCCGAGTACGTCGCCATGTTCGATGGCCCACTGCCGGCGCACGTCATCGCCGCCCTCACCACCATCTTCGGCATCGACGACGAAGAGCAGGAGACAATGGATGCGGCGCTGATATCTCTAGTTGGCGAAGGTATAGCCGACGCGGCGGAGGATGCTGAGGACACCGTCGCCGCCTAATGCGTATTCACCTCGGCTGGAGTTGGTTTGGGAGTCCACTTCGCTCCATGTATCGTCCTTCTTCGATTTGCGATTACATCGCCGGCGGCCTGCGAGCTGCTTCTCCTGGTTGGATTGCCGGCGGCCTGCGTGCAACCTGCCCAACTTCATTAAAAGACTTGTGCTTTTGTAGCCAATGTTGGCAAGAACTTCGTCTTCCTCCTCTTCCATTTGCGTGCTGTTGTGTTTGCACCCGCTCCGACAGACTGTTGTTAGACTTGCTTCCCACTTCGGACCCGGCCACCACTCCATGGCCGTCGCCCGCGGTCGAACACCCTGCAGGCGCTCGGACGCGCCCCCGCCTCTTCACGGGCCGGCGTCTGGGCCGCACACACTCGTGCTTGGGCCGCGCGTCCCCCCCCCCCTCGCGGCAAGACTGCCCATGCGTCACCTGGGCCACGCGCGCACTACAAGACCGGCCATGCGCCAGCTCGTGGGCCGCGTGCGTATCAGGCCGCGCCTGCCCAAAGGCTGCCTTTTCAACACAGACTTGCGAATTGGGCCGCCAAATGTTAATGGGCCATGCGCCCCGAAGTGGCCTTTTTTAAAAAGAGGCTAAGGGCCGGTCCAGATATAGAGAACTCTTCGTTTTTAAATGGCACAAAGTCTAGATCTCATCTCCTGGAATGTGAGAGGCCTAAACTCACCTGCGCGCTGCAACGTAGTCCATGAGCTCATGCTCGACACAAAGTGCACCTTGGCCTGCTTCCAAGAGACCAAACTCCAAAGCATAGATGACGGCCTTGCTCGTTTCTTAGGAGGCTACAAGCTTGATAAATTTGCCTTCAAGCCGGCGAGAGGCACGAGAGGAGGAATCCTTCTCCTTTGGAGTAGTGGAGATTTTGATGTCCAGGAGGTTCGAATCGGCCGCTTCTCGATCTCCGCGCAAATAACAGATA